GTTTTAGCCACCCGGCGCTCCGTTCATTGTTGTAAGCCTCTGCCCTCTGCTGTGGTTGCATCCGACTGCCCAGTAGCGTTCTTAACAAGCCTCCTCCTACAGAGGCCAATCTTGACACCGCTGATACCAGTCATCGGAAAGTCCAACCAGGTCCACATCCTTTTGTACTGCATCAGTCCAGCTTTTATCTAGCCTGTGCCGTGCCCGTTTAGCCCCCTCTATCCAGCCAGACAAAAGCTGCTTCAACATGAAGTGGCTGGGCATGTGGGCTAGATGACCCTGCCAATGCAACCCCCCCTGCCAGAGCTCAAATATCTTCAGGATATGTGAGCGCCTTGCACAATCCAGTCTGGTTAGCCCAGGATGGATCGTAGGCAAGCCAGCCTGAATGTTTCAAAACGGCACTGATGTTAAATTTGATTTAAAGCTTTCATGACTGCAGGGATTCATGTTCTTGGTTCCTTCGGTAAAGTAACGTAGCAGGGAATTCAATAAAATAAAAATATAAAACAATAAAATTATCACGACGTTTCGACTGCAACACAAGCAATCATCATCAGGTGTGATACCACAGCAATAAATTTTGAAAAAAGTAGCGATTTTTTTACGTTAGCACCACGGAGAGCGATTTGACAGTTTGTTCAGATGGACGAGTCCATCTATGTTCGGAAAAGAGGAGGGGGGAGACGAAAAATAATAGATGCAGTCTGAAAGCCACAATAAGCGTGATCAATCAATTAAGACCCAAAATGGTTTATCAAATCCTTCCAATGATTGCTAAGCCAGAATCCATTTTCTCGGCTGAAATTGTCTCTGTGTTTGTATATGTGGATAGCCTCATGAACGAATCTCTCAAAGGGATCCACTTTTTCAAGCACAGAGAAGGGAGGACATAAATGTGGCTGAGGAGACCCCGAACTTATGGAGCAAAATGCCAGGTAGCTCATACTCACTATTATGCAGATAATGACTAAATGCTGCTCGACTGATTTCGAGACCTCCCCTGGCAAACTGGAGACGGTCATAATCACTGCCCAAGTACGGAAACGTCTTCATTCCTGCCCAATCACTTGTGGAGAGGGGGGTGGAGTGTTTGATGACAATGAATACCCAGATACGTGCTTTGTTTTTGTGGGACTGATGGTACGGCCCCATCTGTCAGTAGTCCCCTCCAGGTTCTGCAACAGAGTATCCAACTACTTCATAGTGAGAAGCAATTACAAGATCATTCATATGCAGAACATGGTTGACCAAAGGGAACCATCCCTTGACCTCACCTAGGCATCGATCAGCCTCCCAATGTATCAATACCAGATGTGAATTCCTCCGGTGTACCCATCTCGAACAAGAGCAAATGCTAAATAGTGTAGGGGCCAAAGGATATCCCTGTCCCACAGCCTTGCTGACCACAGGTCGAGAACCACTATTCTATAACAGTTTAAACACATTTGAAACCTTCTTTGGCCAAACGTAGACCTTTATTTATTTGAATGCAACTCCTCTTATCCATGACCCTATTATCAAAGACTCCTATTATACACAGTAGCAGGAGGGTCCACTTGAACTCCTATTATCTGTAGGCCTTATACTTCCTATTAGCCAGGCTTACCTGAGTCACGTGGCAAATACATCCTCTTCTCTCGTTAAAAAATGGTTAAGAAAAAATGCAGTGAATAGAACAAGTTCACTGTACTTATTTTGTTCATGAGACAACACAAATACACTCAAAGAGACACACAGATAGAAAGACATACAGACATGGACAAAAAGACAGGGAAAACGTTTTATTTTACCAGGTAAGGCCCACTGAGCTATATAGCTTTTCCAGAAGCAACATGCTCACAAATGATCGCTCAACAAAGTGGCTATTATGCGGAAATGTATAGCAGCCAAATACTGTTTAGTTTGTTGTCCTTCCCCCACAACTCAAATTCACACGTTGACTATGTACGGTGCGAAAGAAGTTCAACATACATTTATAGATGAATGTGTGTTTTTAAAGGTTGAGGGAAAAACGGAGGACCCAGGGAAAAATCTACACGACCACGAGGAGACCATGCAAACTCCAAATATACAGGCACCAGGATCAGGATTGAACCTACGACCTCCTGTAAACCAGGCAAGGTAGCAAAGACACTGAGACACACAAAGTCTGGGGGACACATACAAGGAGGCAGTCACGGAGACAGACACAGATACAAAGTCAGAGAGACAGAAACATCCCTTTTCTGTAAGAGGGCTTCGGCAGGACACGTCGCAAGCCAAATACGTACAGTACACTCATGTACTGTAACACCCACTACACCTTTGTCTCTATTGGTGGCTCCGTCCCTGTTGCTCACATGCAGACTTGGTGCTTTCAACGACCCCCATTGCATTTTAAAAACGTGCATTTAATTATCTGCGATTTTTTTCGCAGATAGGAGTCGTCGTGATTTTTTACCCCGCAGATTAAGGTTAAAATGGTGATTAAACCCGCAAATAAGATCTGCAATATTAGAGATCTATACATATTCAGGGTAGAGGCAAACAATAAGCAGTTATCCACAAGAGGTTTTTTTGGGTTAGATTACGTAAATGTGTCGTTAAACCCACCACCACCCGACACAGCCAATTAGTACGGTTTTTCACGTAAACAAAACATGCCAATTAGTTACTTCAGCATACCAGTCATCAGAAAACAAGTTTCTTGCATAGAATAAGGTTATAAAGAAAGCTTAGGAAAAGACCTGACTGGAGGGAAATACAAATGGAGTATGAAAAAAAGAAGCAGAAAGAGAAATGTGTTATATATGTATGTTGAACTTTTTTTGCACCATACGGAGCTAACCTTGCTAATCGGAGGTGGGGGGAAAGGACACACTAAACACAAAAAGCAGTTGTAAAGAAATAGTTTTCAATCTAGGTGGTGACCTGCAGTGAGGTGACAACATGGATAACGGATACTCAACCCGCAACCATAGGAACGTGTAATTTTTACCACTGGTTCTGCTGGGCTGTAAACAGGGATCACCAATGCCTCGATTAACGTCATTATTCTGCCTCAAGCGAAATGCAGCACGTGACTGGGGCAGACCAAGTGGAGGGTTTTTACACTGAACGTGGAGGCGTCCCCCACCCCACATGCGCACGCGTAGTACAGGCCTGGCCTCCCGCCAGCCGCTGTCTCCAGGCGCACTTTTCTATTTTAAGCCACACACAACATGTCGGCACCACCGCCATCTTTGTCCAAAGGCAGTTCACAGAAGGAATCAATGTGATCGGCTGCTGATGCGCACACGTTGGCTTACCAAGGGTTTGTGCCGCAATGCAAGTTAACTGGAAAATTGTTCGACTCGTTATAAAAAAACGTGTTTAAATTGTAAACAATGAAATGTACAACATTTTCTTTCTAATAAAATCAAATATTGTGCTGCCGTAGTGTTGGTTGCTGGTTCGATCTCCCGGCGCGACAGTTAAAATAACGGTGCAAGTTTTTCACCCCTGCCCCGTCACCCTTCACAGTATAAACCGGTATAGTCGATCGGGCACAATGTGCATGTCCACCCCTTTCCAAGATATCTGGTCAGCGTTGAAAGTCGACGAAAACACCCTCTTGAGATTCCTCTGTAGTGGAGGGGCTGCTGCCAAGTGGCGTGAGCGAGCACTATAAGGCTGCCCCTTTTAATTGAGAAACCAAGGAAAATGAACCACGCGGTGACTTCGGCCGCCATGCCGTTTGTACGTTCGTGCAGGGCGATCATCAACATTAAACTGGAAAATATTACTATTTCCTGCCTTTCAGACACGATAATCAATTCTGAAAAGTTACCAGTCGTTTAACCCTAGTTGAAACATATCTCCAGGATAAACAAGACCTGCACAGCTCATACTCGCTCCTCTACATCCATAGCAGCCACGACTGCAGTCTGCTTGGCCAATGTTTTTGTTTTAAACAGTTGCTGAACACAGACCCAAAAGGTCAAGCAGCACCATTACATTTCTGAAGAATCGGAATCTTTATTTATCCTGGACAAACCCGATGAGTTATTAAGCTCTTTTCACAGATGTCCCGTAGGGGCGGGTCACAAAGTTACAATACAAAAACGATAGCAAAGTATAGGAAAGGTAAGCAAATCACGAATACATAAAATCAAGCATATAAGTTCTAATTGCATGACACCAATTCCCAAGCTTCTGCAAGGCAGGAAGACAAATGCGAAAAGTCCCACACCACACCAAGAGAACACAGCCCCTCAATAAAAATATACAAATTTTAACTATTGATATATTAGTAAGGATCTAAGTGACAAATATGGTTGTATCTAGCAGTGCTTTAGTAAACACGTCGAAGGCCAAGTAAACACGTTTATTTCAGCAGCATTGGTTCAATAAAAGCAAACGGACCAGTTTAGATTTGTAGTGTCTTATTCGCAGTCAGGCTCGTCTGAACCAATAATGAAGCGCCAGACGTTGAAAGGCTGTGCCCGCTTCGAGAACGAGCCAACTCGGCAGTGATTGTTCTTCTCTCAATGACCACCACCACGCGGTTGGTTGCGAGCGAAGGCGGCCTTGTGCTGCTGCACGTCACCCAAACCTCCTGGAACAACCTTGGCACTACGGTATAACTGTGGAGTTCCCTCCCATAATCGTCTCTTCTCAAGCTATCATAATAACCACTCAGTTCAAGTGATAACGCTTACCCTATTGCAGCATTGGTGGTGCTGTTTGTTACTGGCCGCTTAACATTTTCAACCCTTGGGCCTGTGCTCAGCAGCTGTCTAAAACATGCATACAACGTGCAACGTATTGGACACGTAGACACGAAGAGGACGCCTAAGGTAATAACTCACAACAGTAAGGTTGACCATGCCACGGGGCCGCTGTGCGCTACGAGACCCGAGCAGCAGCAGCAGCCCCAGGCCATCGCACGGATCCCGGGGTCGCGCTGCTCTGGGACCTCGCTGCACGGAAATAAAAACGAAGCGCAGGCGAAGTTAGAGGATGAGGGAAGAGCTCACCCGGAAAGCGGTGCTGCGGCCTCCACGCTACGCCGACCGACTACTGGCGGGGACCATGCTCCTCGACTCACTCCTCCATTCCGGCTCCACTCCTCGCTCCAGCTCCTCGTCCCGCGGCGCCTCCTCGCCCCGCGGCGGCCGAGGAGAAGAAGACGCCGTGCGCCTTGCGGCGGCGCCGTGCGGCTACTCACAGTGCGGCGGCCCAGGGGGGGGTTGTGCGCCGCGCGGAGACGGGGCCGATGAGCATCAAGAGTGTTGAGAGAAGGACGAGGAGTGACGAGGCGTGAAGCGTGGCCACGGCCCCGCGACACAAAGACCTCCAAAATGGCGTCGCTAGGGAAGAAGAAGAGCGGGGAGAGAGACTCCCCCTACAGGGAGAGCGGGGAGAGCAGAGAACGGATGCAGAGGAAAGGAAGAGTGGCAGACTGAGCGGGAGGATTGTGGGGTGAGGGTAGAGAAGCGTGGAGAGACGCAGAGATGACCGCGGCGCCCTGCAAGCAGGCAGAGTGGGGGCTCAATCGGTGTCTCCCCTGACTGCCCACGAGCCACCGAACACAGCATCAACGTCGTTATCATTCCGCTCGTTTGCCCAGCAAAGCCTGAGTCTCAATGCTATTTTCAGGAGGGTGATGCCAAGCAGAAAGAGGCTACGAATGCTACGCGTTTCCAAATAATAAATGTTTAATAGGCGAATAGAGTGAATAGTTACCTTGCCGCTGGCACACAATAGTTTAGTCTTCTTTGAAAGACATCACAGGATATTTAACATCCACTCTGAGTGAAGTAGGCGACGCATGGTGATGTTATGGTTAATACACAGCAGAAATAATCAGGGCGGCCTGCGGGAGTCGAACCGCGAGCCTCCGCAACAAGCGGCCAACTGATAGCTGGGCCAGGTCCCCGCCCCTAACGATCCGATCCAGGAAAAACTTAAATTTTCATTACGATCCGATTCACGACTTACGCTGTGGCAGAGGTGAGACACGAGAGAATCGATTCGTGAATCTGATTATTAGTGAATCGTTACATATGTAAATAAACCTTGAAAGGGCAAAATAGTATGTGACGTTTCGGGCAATGATTCTGTCCAGTGGACGAGGTGATGGTACTCCCATGATCCTCGTCAGACTCGCTTGACCCTCACTGCTCTCCAGTCCTCAACTCACCCGCCCCCCACTCACGCGCCTATACGCTGTAAGATTGAGGGACTGTTGTAAATGGTGTACCTAAATTTTGATTTAAAGCTTTCGTGATTGCAGGGATTCATATTTTGTTCTTTCGGTAAAGTCACGTAGAAGGGAAACAATAAAATAATAAAAATATAAAACAATAAAATTCTCACGACTAATGGTATACCTAAAAAGCATTGCCGAGCCGATGAGCCAAATAAACGCGTCGTAAGCCACCCCCCTCCCAGAATTTCCATCTCTTTCGTAGACAATATCATAATTGTTCAGAAGCACAATTTAAAGAAAACGCTGGAGTTCGTAAGATAATACGAGCGTAGCAAATTGCTATGGGATGACGTCATCACCCACTAATCTGCCAGGAAGATAACCACGCCGTGACGTCATCACTCCCGCTGCCAGGAACCCATTAACGCGACATGACGTCATCGCTTTGTGCAGTTCAGTATTTGTTATACTGTACTGTCGTGGATGATGTTATAACTGTTGTCAAACCATTACAGGGTCAATATCAATGCAGTTGGTTGATGTTATTATCAGCTGGCTTTCTTGTAACTTGTCTATTATGTGCGGTAAACCGGTGACCAGTAGTTTTTTTCATAAATCGCCGGTTCAATTCCATCTCTCAGCGAGGCATTTGAAACAATTGTAGTGGGTTCCACGGAGGCACACACTTGAACTTGGAGGCAACACGTTTATACTGGTAGGAACCTCCTGGTTACACCAGCCCACAGGGGATTATTGCGTCCGTCCGTCCGTCGTGCATCCAAAAATGGGAGGGGTGGGGCTGGGTGGAGAGGGGAGGGTGGGGAGGGGCTGGGTGGGGAGGGGAGGGTGGGGAGGGGCTGGGTGGGGAGGATGGGGAGGGGCTGGGTGGGGAGGGTGGGGAGGGGCTGGGTGGGGAGGGGCTGGTCACCCCGTGGTGCCTAATAAAACTCAACGTTTAACCTACTCACGCCGGCTTGTGCCCGCCCTCACAGTCGGGCATATTTGCGGAATACACCACGTTGACGTTGACCCTGGCCATTGACCGAGCAACCCAACGTTCCTACCAGCTCCCTCCGCAGGAATGGGTTTACACGACCCCAACAGGGCTACTACTTAAACGTTACAACAGGATAACTACATAACTGGGTTAGGTAAGAGACACTGCCTGACCCACAATGCCGAACATGACGACCGAAGATCGAAGAGACGTCGCCCGGCGGGTTGATTCCAGAAGACAGCCACGATTGCTCTCGGGACTTCCCTTTTATGCTCCCGAGCGTGGCCTGGCTCCGCCTTCAGCCACGCCCCCTTCTGGATCTTACCAGAAGGTTCTCGACCGAGTATCACGTGTCCCTCAAGCCACCCTTTGGGCCTCCTCACTACCCTGTCCCGGTCACATGCCCTCTCGGGTTCATCCAGACCAGGGGTCCCCAACCCCCGGGCCGCGGACCGGTACTGGTCTGTGGCCTGTTAGGAACCGGGCCGCACAGCAGCAGGTGAGAGCGTTGAGTCCGCGTGTGGCCCGCCCATTATTTTATTATTTACCACTTCCATCCGTGCCTCTTTCCCGCACTGCGCACTTGTCTCAGTCACAGTTTTGGTAAGCCCACAAGCTAACCCCTAGTAGCCACAATGAGTAAAAAACAAACGTCGCTGGAGAGCTTATTTGAAAAGGGGGAAAGACCCAATGATGAACCCCCCCCCCGGTCCGTGAAAAAATTGTCTTCCACGAAACCGGTCCCTGGTGCCAAAAAGGTTGGGGATCGCTGATCCAGACTGTCAAGTCCCTACTTGCCCTCTCTCTGACCGTCACCAGAACCATGCCCTCTAGGGCCCGCTTCCATGCCATACCTACTCTGGTGCCAGAGAGAGGCTCAAGACGCACAGTTCCACTTTTGTGACAGGAGCTGGCGCTAAATGCCATTTATGTCACGACACAATGACTAAATTACTTAAATGTCCCCGTTTTTGTTCACGTCACGTGGGTACTCAAAATAGACCGGGATGTCGCACCTGTGGTGGGGTAAAGTATCGTTACATCATCCAGCACATCTGCTCAGTATTTATGAAAGAGTAGACCAAATACCGTATCTTGTAGATTCGCTCTTGCAGAGGCCCTTTCGCCGGCAGTGGCGTGAGCACCCACCTGCAGCACTGCACCCTTGTATTCACCCATACTGTACATTATTATACCTGCCGCCGTGCCGCTTGTACCTTTTGCTTGTGCCAATACGTGTTGTTGTTTAACTTATGCTTGTTTTCCAGTCTGTACTGTTGATGGGTTTTCTCCTCATATCCGGATTTGAATCAGTGGACGTGAACGATCCTGGCGTGGTATACGAATAGGCCAACATAGCAGGATGGTCATGATAGCGTCTCAGTCCTCACCGAAGTGACGTTTTGCTGAATACACAAGATAAAAAAAATGCTATGAGAGCGATATTCGTCAGGTGAGGGGCAAAAATTAATATTTATTTTGTATTGTTCAATGCATTGGCTTGTATCAGCTATCAGACATACACGGGTAAATATGATGACAATGTGAAGTAGATGCAACTGATAATGCTCGACTATTAAGCATTTCAGCAATTGACACCTCTGACAAAACAACTCACATTTGATAAATAAATATTAGTCAAGTGTATATATTAAAAATATAAACAGACACTTCACCTTCTTGACATAACCGTCTCTCCACGTAAAAAGTACAAGTATTCTTACACTTCCCATTTGCCACATCGTCTCATGTGAGTGCATCATTTCAGCAGCATTGCTTCACCACAAGCACACTCCAGGCCGGTTTAGACATACATTGTATCATCACAGCAGTCAGGCTTGCTTAAATGAGGCAATGCATTTTTATTATATTAAACCAATGCTGCTGAAGTTATTCACTTCCAGGTGGCCGGTGGGTTGTGTAATAATTGATGTGGATGGACAGATGTGGGAAGGGGGCAAATAGTCTGCTTGTGAGTATGATGTAGGGTTGCGCGTTAGAGCCGGGTCTCGCACTGCAGGCAGACTCGGCTGTCGATCTGCCAGTATTCCGTCTCCACGTCGCTGCCCGCGGCTCCTCCGTCCGGTGGGGAGAGTCTCTCTCCCACCCCTCGCCGCTTCACATCCACAATCATCCTTTCAAACTCCTCGCGCAGCCCATGCGCGCTCGCCCTGTCGGCACACACGACGCATCACACATACCTTGCTTTTTAATTTTAAAAATACTATATTATCCTTTCCACCATAAACGAAAGTTAAAGTGATTTAGTGCTCAAATGACCATTGCGGCATGCTCATTTCCCGTTTACAGCCCTAAACAAGTATTGGAAATTCCACATTCAACAGCAGGGACAAGTCAATCATAAGACAACCACAGAAGACTTTCCCAAAACAAAATTGTACTATTATGAGACCTCCTTTGCCAGAAACAAGATATAGGAATAGGTTTTACCCGTTTAACTGGCACAAAAACTGACACCTTTATTCAAGGCATCATGTTTGCAATGACCACAACACAAGCAGTCAAAATGCAAACAAAAAAGACAACTCTGATAATAATATGCACTGTCCTTGAATTTGATTGGTCCACACCCGAGACAGCTTTTCTTAGAGCCTAGTCTCCATTGGTGTTGGACCAGAAGACGCCAAAAGGCGTACAACTCAAAAACAGCGCACTATCAGAGCGATAGTTTTCTGCAGGCCAGCTATGGAGAACATAAACATAACTCAAAAACAGCGCACTATCAGAGCGATAGTGCGCTGTTTTTGAGTTGTACGCCTTTTGGCGTCTTCTGGTCCAACACCAATGGAGACTAGGCTCTAAGAAAAGCTGTCTCGGGTGTGGACCAATCAAATTCAAGGACAGTGCATATTATTATCAGAGTTGTCTTTTTTGTTTGCATTTTGACTGCTTGTGTTGTGGTCATTGCAAACATGATGCCTTGAATAAAGGTGTCAGTTTTTGTGCCAGTTAAACGGGTAAAACCTATTCCTATAAAAATTGTACTAATTGTATTTACCGAATGAGAGCTGCTAGCTTTATCACCGAGCCACCTGGCTGAATACATCCTGCACAAACAGCTGTGCTACACTGGGTGCGTCTAATGACACATACGTGTACGGTAAATGTGTTTATCTGGTATTCAAGCGATCTGTCTACAACAGCGCGGTAGGAGTGACAACATAATTTACAGGGTGTACTGTAGAAACCATAACATACGTATTATTTAACACAGCACATGACCCATAGTTCAGAGGGCCCCTTGCCTATAAAAATCTGGCAGTTCACCAGCATTGGTTCAAACAAGCCTGACTGTTGATGAGACAATGAGTGTTGAAACCAGTCCAAGGTTTTGATTGCACTTAACCAATGCTGTTGAAAAAATCACTCCCAGAATGTTTTGTGGCTGTTGAGATGAGTTACTTTGTTTGATTTAATGTTGAAAAAGCGACAGGAATTTATATACTTTAGCGATTTTTTTTTTTATTTAGATTCAGTGATTTGCACGCCTTTCCTATATTTTGCACTCCTATCGGTGTTTGTATTGTAGTAACGTTCTGACCTGCCCCTCCTGGACATGAGTGAAAAAGAGCTCCATAGCTCATCGGATTTCTGCAGTCTAAATAAAGATTCTTATTTTGAATAAAGTTATGATTTTTTTGTGTGGTGGGATTGATATGGGAAGGAGGCGATTTGCCGTTTTTCTTTTTTCTACCTGTCCCAAGCCATGATAAAGGAGGAGGGTTAGCATCTGGTGGTAATTGGCCATAAAACCCTGAAGCCAAAAACATGTAAAGTCCTTGCAAACAAATGACCCTCAGTCCCCCGCAGCCCTTAAGTGGGCAGAGGGTGCGAAGAATCTCGGGACCCAATGACTCTGCCGCTGCAGGGAGCTGGCGGTGGTAGTATGTTGTCTGCACATATCAAGATGGAGAAACAAAATGGAAAGAGCAGAATGTTGTTCGGGAAGAAGATAAGGTTGGCCACATGGAATATTGGAACAATGACAGGAAAAGGTCAGGAATTAGTGGACTGCTTGAGGAGGAGGAAAGTCAACATCGCATACATCCAGGAAACAAAATGGAAAGGCAGCAAAGCGAGAGAGATTGGCTGTGGGTTTAAAGTGTTATAACATGGAACAACAGCAAGAAGAAATGGGGTTGGAGTTGTGCTGAAGACAAAGGTGGGGGGAATCATAATAGTGAATGACAGGCTGATAGTCAGACTGGCACTGGACAGAAGGGTTATAATTGTGATGTGCGTATGCCCCGCAGATGGGCTGCAGCTGGTAAGAGAAGGATGCACTTTGGGAGAGCTTAGACCAGGAGTTTCAGAGCTTACTGGTAGATGAAGTAGTTGGTGATTGGCGCAGAATTAAATGGAAGAGTGGTATGAAGTAAGGATGGATATGAAAGCAACCATGGAAGATACGGATATAGCAGTAGCAATGAGGGAGGAGAGGACATTCTTTGAATGGCCTAGGCAAATGATCTTGCAGTGGTAAATACCTACTTCCAGAAGCAGGAGGGACATCTGATGACTGACCAGAGTGGAGAGGTGAAGAACCAGATAGATTTTATTCTGATGAGCAGGAAGCACCTGAAAGGAGTGAAGAACTGCAAAGTGATCTCTGGAGAGTGTGTGACTGGCCAACATAGACTACTGGTGGCAGACTGTGTAGTGAAAGGAGTTAGGAAGAGGAAGGTGAGAAAAAAAACTGTAGCAGGGTGAAGTGGTGGTGACTAAATAATGACAAAGAAAATTTCTGCAGGCCAGCTATGGAGAACATAAAAAGCATAAGGCCTAGGGGGAAAGTGAATGAAATATGGCAACAACCGGCAAGTGGAATACTGAAATCAGCAGGTAGTAAAATGGGAGTGAGCAAAAGAAGACAGATGCAACAGAAGGAAACATAGTGGTGGAGTGATAAAGTGCAAAAGGCAACAAGAGAAAAAGGCCAAGTTTAAGAAGTGACAGAACACGAGAGAGAAGAACCATCTGGATGAATAGCTGACAGCGAGAAGAGAGGCAAAGCGAGTGGTAGCAATGGCAAAAACAACAGCATCTGCACAACTCTACCAGAAGCTTTACAGCAAAGAAGGCAAGAAGATGGTATACAATTTGGCAACAGCCAGATAAAGAAAGATGGAAAGAGTGATTTGAGAAGTTTCTGAATGTGGAAAACTCAAGACGCAAAATGGTCGAGGAACATTAAAGAATTGAAGTAGTTGCAGAGACTATAACCAGAGAAGAGATGGTGGAGGCTCTGGTAAGCATGAAACATCAAAAGGCAGCGGAGCCAGATGAGATTCAAATTGATGTTTAAATTAATGAGAGAGAAGAATGTTGAAATAATGATGGGGCTATTTGGGAAAATCTGGATAGAGAAGAAAATGCTGGATGCGTGGAGAGAGAGAGAGTACATTGGTTCCATCTTTAAAGGGAAAGGTGATGTACAAGAGTGTGGGGACTACAGATGAATAACATTGATGAGTCACACCATGAAACTATGGAAAAGGATCATAGAAAGGAGACTGAGGAAGCTGGTGGATATTGGCGAGAGTAATTTTGGATTCAGACAAGGAAGGTCGACAATGGATGTAACCTTTGCACTGAGAGTATTGATGGAGAAGTTCACAGAATAAACGGGACCTGCATTTGGTGTTTATTGATCTAGAGAAAGCATATGACAGGGTGCCTCGAGAGCTCATTTGATGGTGTATGAGAAGAAGAGGTATTCCTGGGGTATATGTCCTGCTGATCCAGGATATGTATGAAGGAGAGAAAATGCATGTGCGAAGCAGCTGTGGGGTGTCGGAGAGCTTTCAAGTCAAAGCAAAAGTGAGGCAAGGTTCCGCCCTGAGTCCATTCCTTGTGATTCTGGAGCTGGACACACTTATGAGAGATATTCAGAGGGACCCCCTGGTGTATGCTGTTTGCAGACGATATTGTGATTATGCGGGAAAAGCAGAGGGGTAGTGGACGATTTGAAGATCTGGGTCCAAAAGATTGAAGAGAATGGGTTGAGGATCAGCCAGACAAAGACGGAGTACATGGTGGCACATTTCAGTAGAAATAATGCAGGAGGATTGTAAATTGGAAGTGACCAGTTAATGAAGACGAATGAGTTTAAGTACCTGGGTGCAACGATGTGGTGCTGATGAATCACTAGAAGGAGAGATGAGAACAAGAAAATGGGCTGGATGACTGAAATGGCGAGAGATGACTGGTGTGGTGTGCGATAAGACAGCCCCAGTCTGGTTGAAGGGAAAAGTGTACAAGACGGTGACGAGGCAAGTGCTGTTGCATGGGGCCGAGTGCTGGAGCACACGAAAGAGGGAGGACCAAGCTTTGGAAGTTACAGCGATGAGGGTGTTGCGGTGGATGGTGGGTTTAACAAGGAAGGACAGGGTGAGAAATTAAGAAGTGAGAGGAAGACTCAAGGTGGTAGAAATCACAGAGAAATGAGAGAGAAAAGGCTGGTGTGGTTTGGTCATGTGGAGAGACAACAGGAAAATTATGTGGGTCAGAAGGTGCAAGTGATGCAAGTGGAAGTAAAGAGATCAAGTAAAAGGCAGAATTAGAGGTGGGGGGGGGGGGGGGGCGATGTGGAGCAATCAGACATGGTGGCCCGAGGAGCTGAAAGAGAGATGGCACAGGACAGGGCAGCATGGAGAAGGTTGGCAAGGACAGCGGATCCCACATGAGAGGGACAAACGCGTGGAAGAAGAATGTCATATGTGGTCTGGACTTCCGTGCACATGAGGCTTTGAACGTGAAGTACTGCATATGCCCCCATAGGCAATGGATAAAAGGTCAAGCAGAGGGTTGCCAGATTTCCACGCAGACCAAACCCAGACATGTTTCTCAGTCGGGCTAGATCTATCGATTTTGACTTAAAGCTTTCATGACTGCAGGAATTCATATTCTTCGGTCTTTCAGTAAAGTCACATAGATAGTAATCTTGATTTGAAGCTTTCGTGACTTCAGAAAGCCATACTCTTTGGTTCTTTTGGTAAAGTCACGTAGGTAGAAATAAAATAAATCACGACGATTCAAACGCAACACAAGTGCCCGTCTTCAGGTGAAAATCGCGACAGCTGTGATGTCTGCTCAAGGGAGCAGACATCCGTTGACTCAAGGGTGCAGACATCGTGCTGCTCGCAGCAGACATCACAGCTGTCGCGATTTTCACCTGAAGACGGGCGCTTGTGTTGCGTTCGAAACGTCGTGATTTATTTTAGTTTATTTATACCTACGTCACATAGATAGGTTCAAAGAAAATAACAAAAAAACTACGACGTTTCGATCGCAACACAAGCGATCGAAACGTCGTAGTTTTTTGTTATTTTTTGTTATCTTCTTTGAACCTATCTATGTGACTTTACCGAAAGACCCAAGAATATAGATCTATCGATATTGTGCAGTTCACGGAATGAAGTTCAACACAATGGGGCTCCATGGTGGCGAGATGTTAACTTGCGGTCGTGTGGATTTTTTTATGGGTCCTCCGATTTTCCCTCCACATTTAGAAATATGCGTTTTCAGTATTTGACTGCTATAAATGTCCACTTGATAAGCCACTTCATATGTGTGGCAAATTTGCTTCTGAAAAAGAGCTATGTAGCTCAGTGGGCCTTACCTGATTAAATAAAAATAATTTATAGTTTGATTTGAATGCCACCACCAGATCTTAGTAAAAATCTATTCCTGCCACCCTAACACAGCAGGTGCCAAATCCCAGACCGTCTGGGTAAAACATGGACAGGCAGCAATCCCCATGCATCATGACGTGCCCGTGTCAGGTAGAATGACTGCCACAGGTGTTGAGGAGTGCGATACACACGCTTTGGGAGGCTCGGGCAGCTTCTTGAAGAAACCCTTTCGTCCAACCAGCCAGTAAGTGACCTCTAGCCCCCGACCCTGAAAACACAGGCTCAGAACACTTTACAAAGTTGATCATGGCCATGAACAGCCGTGATGTATTCATTGCTGCATAAAGGCCCGTCCCACTTTCTCATCATCCTTTGCGGTTTTGCGATGCATCTGCGCATGAGCTGATCGCTGCGTCTCCACAGTGGTCATTCTCAGGCACATGTCCTCCTTTGGCTGTCATTGCAGAATAACCACTTTCTCGAATAATAAACACGAGTATTCCCGGCACGAGCTGTTAATATTAATGCATTTATTTAGCAATCTAATTTGAAAATAATGTATAAGCTGTCAAAACACAATTAAAATAAATATTTTTTGATTTAAAGCTTTCGTGACTGCAGGGATTCATATTCTTGGTTCTTTCGGTAAAGTCACGTAGAAGGGAAACAATAAAATAAAAATATAAAACAATAAAGTTATCACGACGTTTCGACTGCAACACAAGTAATCATCATCAGGTGTGAAAACCACAGCAAGAAAATTTGAAAAAAGTGGCTTTTTTTAACGTTAGCATCACGGAGAGCGATTTGGCAGTTATTCAGATGGACGAGTCCATCTATGTTTGGAAAAGAGGAGGGGGGAGACGAAAATAATGGATGCGGTCTGAAAGCCACCGTAAGCATGAACAATCAATTAAGACCCGAAATGGTTTATCAAATCCTTCCAATGATTGCTAAGCCAGAATCCATCTTCTCGATTGAAATTGTCTCTCTGTTTGTATATGTGGAAAGCCTCATGAAAAGAATCTCTCATGGTAGCCAGATGGCTTGCAAAGAACCCCTGTCTTGGAGAAGTCAATGTCATGTGAGCCTACTGAATTATAACAGTGATCTGCCACGGCCGAGGTGTTGGTCCTACCGTGTTTTAGGTCTGCTTTGTGTTCACGAATGCGGTCCGAGACATGTCGTTTGGTTTCTCCAATGTAACTACTACCACAGAGGCAACTTAGTTTGTAGACGCCATGTCTGGAACCACATCTTTTACAGACGGAACCAGATCACGGATTTTATGTAATGTGTTGAATCGGACCTGGATATTGTGTTTATTCAAGATTTTGGAGATATTTTTTGTGATCCCCGCAATGTAGGGTAAAGTGATGGTTTTGAAAGGCTCAAGAGGGTCCTTCAACACATTACATAAAATCCGTGATCTGGTTCCGTCTGTAAAAGATGTGATTCCAGACATAGAGTGCCCTGACAAACACAGAGACAATTTAAACCGAGAAGATGGATTCTAGCTTAGCAATCATTGGAAGGATCTGATAAACCATTTCAGGTCTTGATTGATTGTTCACGCTTACGGTGGCTTTCAGACCGCATCCATTATTTTGGTCTCCTCCCTCCTCTTTTCCGAACATAGATGGACTCGTCCATCTGAATAACTGCCAAATCGCTCTCCGTGGTGCTAACGTTAAAAAAACGCCACTTTTTATTTTCTTGCTGTGGTTTTCACACCTGATGATGATTGCTTGTGTTGCAGCCGAAACGTCGTGAGAATTTTATTGTTTTATATTTTTATTATTTTATTGTTTCCCTTCTACGTGACTTTACCGAAAGAACCACGAATATAAAATAAATATCATTACAAATGTATGTAAAGTATGTTGAACTTCTATGGCACTGTATGTAGCCAATCTTGCACTAATCGGAGGTTACGTGTCAATCATGTGTCAATCCTACCATCTCCACAACAATGGCAGTGCGGCTGTATTAAGCATTTCCTGTGTGTATAAAAGGAGTAGCTTTGTGAATGGAGCCACCGTATAAATAGGGTAGCTGTAGCACTAGTTTAACACGTAGGCTTTTGCTACCAATATCATTCATAATATAGTTTTTTTTGGGGTTAGATCGCGTAAATATAAATGTGTTTGTTAAACCCACCACTACCCAACGCAGCCAATTAGTAAGGTTTGTCACGTAGACAGAACATACCAATTCGTTACTAGTACAGCACACCGGTGTGTTGGAGAGCCAAGCCACAACATTTACAATCTGAGTACGATAATTTGTCAGTAATTACAACTAGCTTCATCAGGCGACAGGCAGATTTGTGGAGAAATCCTCCTGTTCCGTTCTTTAAATAGAGGGAGCGATGTGATGACGTCACTAGTGAGCCCTACTTGTGGGGAGGGGGGATTAATGCATATAAATGACCATGGGTATCTTCTTTGGTTCCTTCGGTAAAGTCACGTAGAATGATAATAAAATAATACATTGATAAAATAAAATAAAATAACACAATAATATTCTCACGACGTTTCGGCCACAACACAAGCGGCCTTCATCAGGTGAAGGGGGGCGAGACTGTCTGGTAGGACAGCGCTGGAGTGAAAGAGCCACGTTCAGATACGGCCTTTAAGCTGTGTGAGAGGAACAAAGCGCCTTGACAAAGGAATTAGCATATAATTTAGCATTGAAATGGCTGAATGATTAGCTTGTGACTGGTCACAGAAATAGCTATGTTAAAAGTTAAAGCATACACACCCGCAGAGGCACCCATTGTTAAAGGAATTAGCATAGAATTTAGCATTGAAATAGCTAAGTTAAGGCATACACATCCGCAGAGGCACCCCTTGACAATGGAATTAGCATAGAATTTAGCATTGAGATAGCTGAGTGATTAGCTTGTACCTGCTGCAGAAATAGAGCTTGTACTTGCTGCAGAAATAGCTACGTTAAAGTCAGAGCATACACATTCACCGAGGCCCTTAGTACAAATCAAATAGGAGAATTTAGCATTGAAATAACTAGGCGAATCCAGCATTGAAACAACTGAGTGATTAGCTAGTGACTGGTCACAGAAATGACTACACATCTGAGCTATTCACAGTACTATATAGTGAACCAATAAAAACTAAAATATAAATTACCTTCATGTTATCAATAAACTCTATATTCTCCAATCAGCTAAGCTACCAACAATAAGTCGTTATATATCACAATGCTATATGGCGAAAAAATGGGTGGATTCTTACCCTCAAATTTCAGCACCACGGATAGCTACGGGCCCCGTTCAGACGGACGAGTTCGTCCATGGTCGGAACAGAGGAGGGGGAGAGAGACAGCTGCGAGGCCCTAGTATGCTCCATGTTGTAAAACTATACCATTAACCGTGGTGTGAGAGGTATTAAGAGGCAATGCTGGCGAAAGAGCTGCGGTCTGAAGGTCATCGTAAAAATACAATTAATTAAGAACAGAAATGATTTAAAACATATTTCCAGTGGTTACTAAGCCTGAATCCATCTTCTCGGTTGAAATTGTCTCTGTGCTTGTATATGTGAATGGCCTCATGAACGAATCTCTCATCGTAGCCGGTTGGTTTGCAAAGAACCTCCGTCTTGGAGAAGTCAATGTCATGTGAGCCCACTGAATTATAACAGTGATCTGCCACGGCAGAGGAGTTCGTCCTACCGTGTTTCAAGTCTGCTTTGTGTTCGCGGATGCGGTCCGAGATATTTCTTTTGGTTTCTCCAATGTAGCTACTACCACAGAGGCACTTTAGTTTGTAAATGCCCGGGTACTGTATGTCTGGAACAGCATCTTTTACAGATGGAACTAAATCACGGATTTTATGTACTGTGTTGAATCGGACCTGGATCTTGTGTTTGTTCAGGATTTTGGAGATCTTTTTAGTGACCCCTGCAATGTAGGGTAAGGTGATGGTTTTGAGTGGCTCCACAAGAGGATCCTTCTTCATGACTGGAGTGATGGCTTTGCGGATTGTGTAGTCGGAGTAGCCATTAGCCCTGAGAGCCTGGTGTACGTGCTTGAGTTCACTGGTAATGTGTTCCTGGTCGGAAATGCATTGGGTTCTATGGTATAGAGTCTTGATGAGGGAGTTCTTCTGGGATGGATGGTGGTGGGAATTCGGTTTCAAGTAAGCATCTGTATGGGTAGCTTTCCTGTAGACAGAGTGGCTCATTGAACCATCATGTCTTCTTTTAATTAAGACATCCAAAAAGGGTAGTTTGCCATCTTTTTCGACCTCCATGGTAAATCTGATGGCTGGGTGTATGGAATTGATGTGGTCGCGGAATTGGTCTAGAGCAGGCTGGCCATGTGGCCAGATGACAAAGGTGTCATCAACGTACCTCTTCCATAAGGTCGGGCGTAGAGTGACAGTCTGGATGGCGTCAGTTTCAAATTTTTCCATGAATACGTTGGCTACAACCGGAGATAGGGGGGAGCCCATTGGGGTGCCCTCAGTTTGTTTGTAGAAAGTTCCATTCCAGGTGAAGTAAGTGTTGGTTAAGCAATGTCTCACCAGGGGGGGTACATCAGTATGCAGTCCTTGATGAACCAGGTCTTCAATGATAGCGATGGTGTCAGGTACCGGGACTTTGGTGAACAAGGACACCACATCAAAACTGACAAGCAGGTCGTTTGGGGACAGGGAAATGCCTTTGATTGTCGATACCAGGTGAGTAGAATTTAGTACCGCAGAGGTGGTTTTTCCAGTGAAAGGTCGCAGTATATCAGCAAGAAAACGTGCCAGTTACTTCACCTGGAATGGAACTTTCTACAAACAAACTGAGGGCACCCCAATGGGCTCCCCCCTATCTCCGGTTGTAGTCAACGTATTCATGGAAAAATTTGAAACTGACGCCATCCAGACTGCCACTCTACGCCCGACCTTATGGAAGAGGTACGTTGATGACACCTTTGTCATCTGGCCACATGGCCAGCCTGCTCTAGACCAATTCCGCGACCACATCAATTCCATACACCCAGCCATCAGATTTACCATGGAGGTCGAAAAAGATGGCAAACTACCCTTTTTGGATGTCTTAATTAAAAGAAGACATGATGGTTCAATGAGCCACTCTGTCTACAGGAAAGCTACCCATACAGATGCTTACTTGAAACCGGATTCCCACCACCATCCATCCCAGAAGAACTCCCTCATCAAGACTCTATACCATAGAGCACAATGCATTTCCGACCAGGAACACATTACCAGTGAACTCAAGCACGTACACCAGGCTCTCAGGGCTAATGGCTACTCCGACTACACAATCCGCAAAGCCATCACTCCAGTCATGAAGAAGGATCCTCTTGTGGAGCCACTCAAAACCATCACCTTACCCTACATTGCAGGGGTCACTAAAAAGATCTCCAAAATCCTGAACAAACACAAGATCCAGGTCCGATTCAACACAGTACATAAAATCCGTGATTTAGTTCCATCTGTAAAAGATGCTGTTCCAGACATACAGTACCCGGGCGTTTACAAACTAAAGTGCCTCTGTGGTAGTAGCTACATTGGAGAAACCAAAAGACATATCTCGGACCACATCCGCGAACACAAAGCAGACTTGAAACACGGTAGGATGAACTCCTCTGCCGTGGCAGATCACTGTTATAATTCAGTGGGCTCACATGACATTGACTTCTCCAAGACGGAAGTTCTTTGCAAACCAACCGGCTACCATGAGAGATTCATGAGGCCATTCACATATACAAGCACAGAGACAATTTCAACCGAGAAGATGGATTCAGGCTTAGTAACCACTGGAAATATGTTTTAAATCATTTCTGTTCTTAATTAATTGTATTTTTACGATGACCTTCAGACCGCAGCTCTTTCGCCAGCATTGCCTCTTAATACCTCTCACACCACGGTTAATGGTATAGTTTTACAACATGGAGCATACTAGGGCCTCGCAGCTGTCTCTCTCCCCCTCCTCTGTTCCGACCATGGACGAACTCGTCCGTCTGAACGGGGCCCGTAGCTATCCGTGGTGCTGAAATTTGAGGGTAAGAATCCACCCATTTTTTCGCCATATAGCATTGTGATATATAACGACTTATTGTTGGTAGCTTAGCTGATTGGAGAATATAGAGTTTATTGATAACATGAAGGTAATTTATATTTTAGTTTTTATTGGTTCACTATATAGTACTATGAATAGCTCAGATGTGTAGTCATTTCTGTGACCAGTCACTAGCTAATCACTCAGTTGTTTCAGTGCTGGATTCGCCTAGTTATGTCAATGCTAAATTCTTCTGTTTGATTTGTACTAAGGGTCTCGGTGAATGTGTATGCTCTGACTTTAACATAGCTATTTCTGCAGCAGGTACAAGCTCTATTTCTGCAGCAGGTACAAGCTAATCACTCAGCTATCTCAATGCTAAATTCTATGCTAATTCCATTGTCAAGGGGTGCCTCTGCGGATGTGTATGCCTTAACTTAGCTATTTCAATGCTAAATTCTATGCTAATTCCTTTAACAATGGGTGCCTCTGCGGGCGTGTATGCTTTAACTTTTAACATAGCTATTTCTGTGACCAGTCACAAGCTAATCATTCAGCCATTTCAATGCTAAATTATATGCTAATTCCTTTGTCAAGGCGCTTTGTTCCTCTCACACAGCTTAAAGGCCGTATCTGAACGTGGCTCTTTCACTCCAGCGCTGTCCTACCAGACAGTCTCGCCCCCCTTCACCTGATGAAGGCCGCTTGTGTTGTGGCCGAAACGTCGTGAGAATATTATTGTGTTATTTTATTTTATTTTATCAATTTATTATTTTATTATCATTCTACGTGACTTTACCGAAAGAACCAAAGAAGATGAATCATTGCAGTCACGAAAGCTTTAAATCGAGACCATGGGTATGTTTAACACGTAGACTTTCGCGACCAATATCATCCATATTAGAGGGGTTTTTCGGTTAGATCGCGTAAATATATAAATGTGTCGTTAAACCCGCCACCACCCGACACAGCCAACTAGTAAGGGTTGTCATGTAAACAGAACGAGCCAATTCATCACTAGTACAGCACACCGTTGTGTTGGAGAGCCAAGCCACAACATTTACAATCCAAGTACGACGTTTCGCCAGGAATTACAATTAGCTTCATCATGCGACAGCCAGATTTGTGGAGAAGTCTAACTGTTTTGTTCCTTATATAGAGGCGTAGATGTGGTGACCACGCTTCTGCACTCTTGCGCAAAGTGGGGGGGGGGGGGGGAGATTACTGATGCAACATATATTATGCATTATGCGAGTCCTTTGATCTTGTCCTTCCTGTCTATTGTGTGTATTAAAATAGCCGTACCAACGGTAATTCCTATTGAAGTATGGTGGCCTGTATAGGCATGCATTTAAAACATTTATTATTTGATTATTTGCTTCCACGCAGCACTAAGGCGTTAGCTATCGGAACGGTTAAAATTATTTTTTATTTCTTTCAATTTCGATATTTCTTTTAATTTCTTTCAAATTTTATTAAGAAATTGCAATCGGATTTAACGACACATTTATATATTTATGCGATCTAACCCAAAAAATACCTTTATTATGGACTATGGGTATCCATTGCCAGATGAGTTATTCATATGGTAATCAACATACATTATGTATGAACATTATGCATGTGTAGGAATGTATATGGAGTAACGGTAGTGTAGCGCCAGTACCGAGAGAAGAGTGGAACTGCATGTATTAAGTCTCTCACTAACGGCAGAGTGAGTATGGCATGGAAAGGCTCTCTAAGGGGCATAGCCCTGGTGACGGTGGGAGAGAGGTCGGGCGAGGACGTGGTACTCTGAGTGAACCCGAGAGGGCACGTGACCGGACGAGGTGGCAAGGGGGGCCCAGAAGGGGGTGAGAGGGACACGTGATGTAGTGGCCAGAGTCTTCGAGAAGGATCTGGAAGGGGGCATGGCCAGGGGCGGAGCCCGACCACGCCGAGGCCCATAAAAGCCGAGTCCAGAGCCCGATCGAGGCTGTTCATCTCTGGGAAGAAATCCGCTATCTTTGTTCCTCGATCCTCGGTCTCCGGTCTTCACGCACGTGGACCAGGCAGCGTGTTAGCTCTCCTGGTCTGACTGAATAGTTATCCCATCGAGGGTGGGTGTAATTAGCCGTGGTGGTCACCACCCTAAGTCGTTATCCCGTAATGTTAATCGTTACCCTGCGGTGATAGTTAATAAATGTGTTGCCTCCAAGATCACGTGTGCGCCTCAGTGGAACCCACTACACATGCACATGGTTCTTGTCTCTCCTGTCATTTGCGTGTAATAAAACAGCAGTACCTGTGCAAAAGTAGTTACTTCTGGCTAAGACTAACCAGATAATCTATCGAAATTGATATATATATACCAAATAATTTTAACCATTCAGATAGCTACAGGCTTAGTGCTGCTTGGAAGCGAATCATCAGATAATAAATTGTATAAATGCATGCCTATACAGGTCACCATACATCAATGGGGATTACATGTACGCAGACAATAAAAGGTACTGCTATTCAATTGCACGTAAACGACATGAGGTACGAGAACAATGTGCATGCATAATGTATGTTGATAACCACGCAAATAACCCAACCGGCAATGGATATTCATATCCAAGATGGGCTCACGAGTGACGTTATCACATCAAGTTCCCGGAACGTCGTATTCAGATTGTAAATGTTGTGGATTTGCTCTCCAACACACTACCGGTGTGCTGTACTAGTAACGAATTTGCATGTTATGTCTACGTGACAAACCTTAATAATTGGCTGTGTCGGGTGGTGGTGGGTTTAACGACACATTTATATTTACGCGATCAAACCCAAAAAAAACGATATTATGTATGTAGCACTCGTGTCAAGCACAGGTAGTATGTCGCATCACCTTCAGCTCGATGATGCCGCGGCACGTGAACTGATGTCCTGACTGCTGTGCGTTGAGGGTGTCCACAGTGGACTGGCTTACGTGGATCCTGTAAGCTTCACACACACACAGTCCAGGGCGCCCTTAATCACTGAGCGTGGCAGCTGGGCATAGATTGGCCGTGTTGCACGTTTCCTGTAACCCAAGACTGGAGGCAGCGAAAGTTGGTCGCCATCTCCTGGCTTGCTAGAATATTGCAGCACAGCAGGTGGATTAATTTCCACTGTTAGGAGAATTGTTACCCTCCTCGCATAAGTAGTTTTTCTCTTGGTACTCCGGTTTCATCCCACATCTAACAGAGCCGGCCAAACATCCCGATATAGGACCACAAAGCTTGGGCATTGCCGGTGTGGATTCTAGCTGCCCTCCCGCTCTTCTGTGGGTTCCCCCGCGCCTCTGTGCGGACGCTACGTGGAGGCGTTACACTTTCTCCGATGGCGTCTTGAGGTACGGCTCACATGTACAACGACATGAGACTGAACACAATTTTACCACAATATTGCAACTTTAATCATGGCGTGTGTAGTTTACTGGTGGTGATTCACCCAGGCAGTTTTGGAATAATAGCAGTTCCTCTGCGTTTGCTCTGTGATTTATTTGCATGTCATCGCAATGGCTACAGTAAATTTAACAAACAAGTTTAATGATTTGAGTGTTACACATGTGACTTTGTGTTGCTGTGTTTATTGTAAAACCATTCTGGCGCAAATTCCTGATGCTCAGACCGATTAAACGTGAACGCAAATATAAATTATCTCCACATTCACCGGGAACGTCATTTACAACAGAAAGATAACTAGTTGATAATGCAGGGACTGGGCCCGGTTTATAACGGTCAGAGTTTGTGTTACCAGGTGAAAACTTCGGCCTACCAGGGTATTATGTACAAGGCCAACCTTGACATGATAGCAATACAAATAAAGTGGCAAGAGAGCACAAGCAAGCAAAGGTGTTCCAAGCTATCAGAAACGCAGATGTCAGGTGCAATCAGGTGTTTATAATAAACTAGAGATGTTCGTTTTAACCATCGGAATCATGAAAATATTATAACCAGTAAAACAGGCACAGCATTGCACAGAACGTCCATTTACAGCAGCAGCCGGGGAAGTTATTAACGGAGCTCAATAGGGAGCCACCATTGGCACGTACGGTAGCCCGTCGACTCCATGCGAGACGCAGTGTTGACAGTGTCCCCGAAGAGGCAGTACCGGGGCATCTTGTTCCCCACCACCCCCGCCGCGCACTTTCCTGGTCAAGAGTCACGTAGCACCGCACAGCAAGAGTGAGTGATGTCCACTAATCCCCACTAAACACGTCAAGTTGGGCCAACGCTGGCATGTGTTTGGACCAAGGTTGGTCCAACGTTCCATGTTTACTGGGTCATCCACGCACCTACACTTACAACAGCGTGTACTGCAAGGCATAGTTGGCTACATATGGTGCGAAAGAAGTTCAACATACGTACATACTCCATCTACTGCAGTATAGCCCGGCATGGGTGTGTGTGCTGGCTGAGAGTGTGATGCATGCATAGGGGGGGCGGTTTGTATCCTGCCGAAGTTTGTGAGCGGTAGTATAGTGGGGAGTGGTGGCACAGCGGTTAGTGCTCTGTGGTACAAACCCGACGACCTGAGTTCAATTCCCTCTCATGGCCAACACCAATGACGATTATCTGAACCAGTCCGGGGCCTCCCCTAGGTCAACTCAGCCTCAAATGAGTATCTGGTGGGGTGTGTAAACATCGCTGCTCGGGAGACAAAGGCGGTCGGGCGTGGTACTGGCCACCCACCCCCTCGTGTGCCATGCCGGCCTTCATAGATGATCGCTAACAGCAATTGCCCCAAGAGTCTGTTAAGCCTATACAGTGGATCTTTGTATTTTCTGCCGATGTGATGACAACACAAATGGATGTGTGCTGACTCAGTGTGTGCATGTGCATGTGTCCTGCCTGAGTGTATGCCGATGCGGACCCAGACAGGCAGGCCCGGCAGGTGCTGGATGTGGAACGAGCCCATGAAGGAGAGGATGTCCAGGGCCACGTTGGCGATTTCCATGGCGTGATGGCAACCGTTGCGCTTGGGCAGCCCCGACACCAGCATATAAGCGTCACCTATTGTTTCCACCTGCGCAATAAAATCGAATTTGGCATCAAAGGGCAGCAGGTCCTGTCCTACATCAGCCAAACGGCCGGCATTATGGGAGTGCATTATTTTAGTAGCGTTAGTTCCACTGGTTTCAACGATATTCTGTCTCAGTCAGGCTTGCTGTACCAATGTTTATAGGCAAGGACGCCTCAGCTGCTCTATGTGGCCAATGGGACTGCACAGTTGTGAGGCTTGGACACTAAAAAGGGAAGCATGCGAAGGATGGAGGTGTTTGTGTTTCAGAGTTTCAAGCGGATGTTTGGAACAGGATGGACAAGGGAGGCAGTGACTTGACCCAGCGGTTGCGCATTCACTGCTTGCTGCAGAGGCTCATGGTTCCAATCCGGCAGGCCACCCTGGTTAATACTATGGGAATAATAACAATAAAATATATAATTTGAAGAAAAGGCCATTATGTGCCTGCGTCATGATCCAAATGTGCCAATTTTAACAAATGACACTGAAAATTATTTAATTGGGAAAAGCATAGCAAGTGTCGCTCCCTAATGCAAAAACCTAGTAGGACCCTGCTGAAAAAGAGTCTTGAGGGTCAGTGAAGGTTTCCTGGGTAAATAAAAGGGTATATTGCCATAGCACGATGCTGGCTTCACACAGAGGAAGACGGAAGAGTGTGTACTTGCAGTGCAAATCTCACAGAGAGCCCCATCGCCACCCCTCAGGCAGAAGGGTACAAGAGGAAGGAAATGATGGACGTGGTGGTGGGGTGGGGGATGACATCAAGGAGTGGACCCATACCTGTCATACATTGCACGTCGACCACGAAACCCAGAGCTGACACCGATGGACGATTCCTGATAGATTTTTGGGTTTTGTCACGTGATGATCTGACCAAAGTTGTGTCATTAAAACCCTTTACCACCTGACACAGCAATGCAACTTTTCACGTGATGTACAAGCGTTGTAATAGTGGTGAGCTCGAGAACGATTCTCACAGCCAACCTTGGGGTGTGAGAACACTTGTACACCACGTGATAATTTCATGTTGTTTGGCTGTGTCGGATAACGGAGGGTTTTAACAACAAAAGTTTGACCAGATCATTTACGTGGCCGAATTGAAAACTCCGCTGTGAGTGGCAACATCGGCTGAGAGGTCTCCGCGTGTGAAGAGAAGCGATTGCGGCAGCAATGCAGCGCCAGCGGGGCTTCTCGAGCACTCGCCTTGTAGACATCGTGCGAGTCAACAATGGAGTCGAACTCCTTGTAGAGGTCATTGAGCAGGCACACGACCTCCATGGGCTCGCAGTGCTTGCAAATGGTCGTGAAGCCCACGATGTCGCTGAAGTAGATAGTGACCTCCTCGAACAGCTCCGGCTGCACCGAGCCGACGCTCTTGAGTGCCTGCACCACTGTCCTGCGCGGGGGACACCGCGTACCGAGGTCACGCTCCGGGGCTGCATCACTCTGAGACTGTGTCATACCGGTAATTAACAAATGCAGAACAAAAACTTAAAAGTGCACAAAGAAGCACGTAGAGATGCACGCTTGGAATTGCACAGAGAGACCAAAAGAGGAACAAGCGGCTCAGTGAACGTATGCAGGTTTATGGGAGATGGAGCAATTAAATCATCTCGCGTGCAAGTGCGGGATGGATCGTCAGAATCGCATGTTGAAATTGTTGGGAATGTGCGAGGTGGTGGTGGGAATGGGAGACCTTCATCCAGTAGCGGATCAACCATGGCTGATGGTTAATGCGGTCTGTAGCCGCGATTCTGGTGAAAGATGAACGCCTGGCATGGCTGGCGATGCTTACTTGGGCAGTAGCTGGTAGTTGAGGTGGTCGGCGCGGTCGCGTTCGCGCTTGTACAGCTCTGTGCGCTCCTCCACCAGGCGTTCCAGGTTCTTGGAATACTGCTCGAGCCGGCGGATCAGGCTGTCCACATAGCTCTCCGCCTTGCCCTTGTGGATGCACCTGGTGTGGTGCACTCGAGTTATGGGTGGCAGTGCAGTGGTAACACTCGTGCCTTACAGCAACAAGTTCCTGGGTTGAATTCCCCACTTTGGCGCCTCTCTGTGTTCTCCCCCTGTTGTGTATGTTGAACTTCTTTGCTTTTGCACTTTACGTAGCCAACCGTTCTAATCGGAGGTTTTGCACAGTGTGAGTGAGTGTGTCTGTAATGTGTGAGAATATGCGAATGAGTGTGTATGTTCTCCCCCTGTTTTGCATGGGTTTATTCTGTGTTCTCCGGTTTCCTCCCATAGCTAAATAAAACCATACAATGTAACTGGTATTGGCCAAACATCTCGAATTAACTGAAAATTACTCAATTCGGATGACACATAGGAACATCATCCTCTCGTGCGAAAACTTGGCAGACCTTCCTGAGTCTCGAGAGTCAGTCAGGTTTTGCTGGATAAACAAGCGGAGTCATTTTAACACGTAGGCTTTCGCGACCAATATTATTCATAATAAAATCACTGCACCTGAATGAGTTAAAAATGATGACGTCACCCTGCTGCTCTATTTAAGACGGGGAGCAAGTGAGGGCTTTACCATTCTGGCGAATTGCCCGATGCTGGATGTAATTACCAGCGAAACGTCGTACTAAAACTGTAAATGTTGTGAATTCACTCTTCAACACACCGGTGGGCTAAAATAGTGAACTATTTGTCTTTTGTCAATGTGACACTTTTTTGCTGATTGGCCGTGTCGGGTAGTGGAGGGTTACGACACATTTATAAATAACGCGATCTAACCCAAAAACCTTTATTATGAAGCGGAGTCATAACAATAATAATAGGAATACTACGCCACAGCTCCACACAGCTACAGCCAGACCATCGAGGCAGCCATGCCGGGCAGCGTGGCGTCGTGCGTAGAGCAGGGCATTCGCACGTCAAGGGTGATGGCGCCCAGTGACACCCCCACATCTATGATCCCTGCATCCACAAACCCCTCCTGCACAGCGCTGGGAAGTATGGTAAAATAGCCTCCGGGACCGATACAGCATGGGGAGGCCCTCATTCAGCAGTGGATCGACTTAAAGGCCATGATACATGCAACGTTACATTCAGCATTTTACTGTTCCAACGTTCAACACTATTGTGTTTACTACTATAGGCTATTTGTACGTCACCATTACAAAAGCCAAGGAGAAATGCTTTGTTCCCAGGCACGGCGTCTGCACGACACATCAGAATCACAAAACCTAATTCGCGAGGTCTTAACACGGACACTGGAGCAGTCTCCACGAGTCCAGACACCAACCTAATCTTAACCCTAAGAGAAGACCTCAGAGTGAATGGTGGTGGGAGACTGTGAGTCTCTGTGTGTGGGTCTCTTTATGAGTCTGAGTCTCTGTCTATGGATTCGTGTGTATGTATTTTAAACTTCTTTCGCACCATATGTAGCCAACCATGCTAATTGGAGGTGTATAGCTTCAGTGGTTGCCTAATATCGCAAAAATAGCATTCAAGGTGGCCACAGAAGCGCATCTGAAAGTTTGATGCAGTGACTGTCTTTGTTTGATGGCTAACCAAAATCCACTGTGAGGATGACCGAAGTTTGCGTGATGGTTTATGCTCCATGATGACATCGAAAAGATATTGGTGATTCATTTCTGGCAAGTACATTGTGTGTAATAAGTGCGACCTTATAATGTGTTTGTTCAGCAACCGGAAGCCAATACAGCTCAGCGAGCACTGGACAGACATGGTCGGGTCTTGCAGTACCTATCACGACAGGTGCCAAATAATTTTGTACATGTTGCATCTTGGTAATGTTTTTGCCAGATGTCCCGTAGAGTAAAGAGTTGCAATAATTAAGCCTTGTTAATACAAAGCTACACGTCACTATGTTGGCTACATGAGTCTATGGCTCTCCGTGTGAGTCTCTAGGTTCCAATATGAGTCTATAGGTCTCTATGTGAGTCTATGGCTCCTTGTGTGAGTCTCAGAGCAGATGGTGGGAACACACTGTCACAGCAGGTTTTGGAGGCCACTGTGTGCCTCATGCGCAGTACTTGTGGAATCTGCGGAGGAGGGTGGCGCATGTTGGTTGCGATGAGGTGCAGTGGTGGTGGTAGCATCAACGGATTAGGCTGCGATGACGTCTCGACCTTGAGAGGAGAGCTGTGTCCCCCCTTACAAAAACAGGTTGAGAGCTACCAGAAAACTTACATTGAGATCCGACGCAAAATTCCCTCAATTTTACGAAAGTCCGGTCTCTTATCGGGAACCTCCTCCCAACAGTCGGTGATCATTGCGCAGAGCTGTGGAGAGGGACGCTCGTCAGTCAGCACATTCTGTTTTGGTGTCTGATGCTCTAGTACAGACAGAACTTTGTCAAGATGTCCTAGGCTCACACCCAACTCATTGATCAACTCTTTAAGGAAACAACACAAGTTTTCCATCCAACTTTCTCTACTCAAATACCATGGTTTTTGGAAAACTGGAAGCTCTGTGTGACGTGGAGCTCAATTCCAACATGAACATGGGCCCCGGTGACTAAGCCGTGGAGCGAGCAGCTCAAAATTGTAAGATCGTAAGTTCAAAGCATGGTTGCGTGGTTGACTCAGTCCAACATCCCTCCCTGCAGGGTCAATAACATTAGCTACCAGTTTGTGGGGAAGTCAACAGTGGTTGTCCTATGGATATACATGCCCCCACCATAGCAATGTGGAATTTCCACCAATGACTCAGGGCTGTCAACAGGAGATGAGCACCAATGCCTCAATGCTTATTTAAGCCAGAACTCTAACATTTTAAACACAAGGGAGGAGTGGCAACATCATGAAATCACTTGCTAAAACCACGGCATGCAAAATAACTCACCTCTTCACCTCCACCTTTATGGATAAAGTCATTCATGTCCAGTGTAGGACGCATGACCTTCCCACTGAGCAGCTGCTCCACAATATCTGGAACGTACACCCGGTGATGTTTCTGAGATTCCATGGTCATATCAAAATAAATAAGCGGACAAGTCGCCTCCTTCCCATAGCTGTTCCTCAACATGAAAAAACAATCATTTTAGGCATCCAATCAGCCACACGACCTTCTGGGTGTGCATCATTTCAGCAGCATTGGCTATATACAATAAACACTCTCAACAGGCTCTCTTGACTAATGCTGGTGAACTACTAGATTTTTATATGCAGGGACTATCTCGATTAAATATGGATCCTGGTTCAATGCAAAGCTCTAAAATACACAACACAGACTATGAATGAGCATTGTAGAGAATATAAATAACAAAATAACCAAGCAGACAATGTGCCTCCTGTCGAAGGTGTGAGTTGTCTGTTCTTATGGTGTGAACCCACCCGGCCTGTCCGTGTGAACGCGGCCCTACCCTTATCGGTGAGGGAGTTGCCCTTGATGTAGAAGACCTGTCTGCGGTAGAGGATCTCCTGCAGCACGATCCCAAAGCTGTACACGTCGCCCCGCTGCGAGGCCCCCGCCCGCAGGGGCAGCAGCTCCGGGGCCGTCCACAGCCCCGAGGTGCCAGGGGGCAGCGCGTGCACTGTGCTGGGCTGAGGTGCGGGGCAGACACGCGTCCAGGTGGAACGGAGGTGTTAGGTACGGTTGGGGTGGTTGCGGCGGTGCGGTTGGGGTGGTTGTAGCTGTGTGGCTGCGTGTTACCTTTGCTTGAGTCTCTATGATGGGCTCGTCCTTGCCGATGGACACCATCGAAACCTTGTTCTTTGGAGCTGAGATACACAAATCCCACTATGACCCGAACCCTCAGCAAATAACAATATCATAACCAAAAAAAGGGAATTCGCCTCCTCGCTTCCCATATCTCTCTCTCGACATAAGGAATTAGTGTTTTTTACAGATCCCATCAGCCATATGGCGTTCTGGGAGTGAATTTTCTCAACAGCATTGGATTTGTGCAAGCAAAACTCAAAATCAGTTTTTCACATTAAGTGTCTCATTAGCAGAGTCAGGCTTGCTTGAACCAATGCCGGGGAACTGTCTGATGTATATAGGCAAGGGCCCTCACTCTCGGTTAGCCATGCATCCTAGTTCAACACAAACCTCCACAATACACAGCACAGAGTCATCATGAGCATTGTCATCAAGAACATTCTCTTCTTGATATTCTCCACGGTGCGAGCGATCGTCGAGGTTCCGTCCACTTCACGGAAATTTACGGGCGTGCTCGCTGAACGAATCTCATCGCGCTCACCACGAATCTCATCACGCAGGGAGACCAGGCCGAAGTCCGTGATCTTGACGACCATCCGCCCGTCCACCACGCAGTTTGTAGACTTGAGTCGCCCATGCACGGTGATCTTGCTCGAGTGCAGGTAGGCCATGCCCTGCCCCCGCGCCGTCCAGATGTGGGGCGGTAGGGCACGAGGGGCGGCGTTAGCGGTTGGTGGGGCGAATATTTCGAGTCTGGGTTACATAATACATGGTCTATCAAACAATATACACAAGCAGACAGCAAGCACCTGCTCCTTTCCATATCTGTCCCTCCACATAAAACATAAATGTATTTCTTAAACATCCCATCGGCCACAGCCTTCTGGGACCAGCATTACGGTAGTTCACAAGCAAAACTCTGAACTGGTTTCAACAGTCAGTGCCTTATCAGCAGAGTCAAGTTTTTTTAAGTTAATGGTGGTGAACTGCCAGCTTTTATAGGCATGGGCCTTGTCTGTATGGGTCCTCGTTCGACACAAATACACAACACAGAATGTTCACCAGCGTTATTTTGGAGAATATAAACTAAATGACTGAGTAGACAATTCATATTTAAATCAGCGTCAAAGAAAGCCTGTATAATGTGCGGCAACACCAAGCTCCACAGACGTCGGGAGACTCGGAGTATTATGACTCTATAGTAGAGCTTTTGGGTTAGATCGCGTAAATATATAAATGTCGTCAAACCCGCCACCACCCGACACAGCCAACTAGTAAGGGTTGTCACGTAAACAGAACGTGCTAATTTGTCACGAGTACAACACACGGGTATGTTGGAGAGCCAAGCCACAACATTTACAATCTGAGTATGACGTTTCGCCAGGGATTACAACTAGCTTCATCAGGCGACAGCCAGATTTATTGGAGAAATCCTCCTGATTCGTTCCTGTTATTGTCTACATACGGAGTAATAATCCCCATTGATGTCTGGTGACCTTTGAATTTCTGTCGTCTTGTTACGGCGTTTACTCTCTATAAACCTCTATTACTCTCTATAAACCTCTATTACTCTCTATAAACCTCTATTATAGAGAGTAAACGCCATAACAAGATGGCAGAAATTCAAAGGTCACCAGACATCAATGGGGAGTATTACTCCGTATGCAGACAATAACAGGAATGAATCAGGAGGATTTCTCCAACAAATCTGACTGTCGTCTGATGAAGCTAGCTGTAATCACTGACGAAACATCATACTCAGATTGTAAATGTTGTGGCTTGGCTCTCCAACACACCAGTGTGCTGTACTAGTGACGAAATGGCACGTTCTGTTTACGAGACAACCTTTACTAGTTGGCTGTATCGGGTGGTGGTGGGTTTAACGACACATTTATATATGTGCGTGATCTAACCCAAAAAACCTCTATTGTGGATGATATTGGTCGCGAAAGCTTACGTGTTAAACTATTATGACTCTGCTAACGAAACACTGAATATCGAAACCAGTCTGCAGTTTGCTTGTGCTGAACCAATGCTGCAGAAATTATGTGCTTCCAGAATTCCATGTGGCTGATGGTATCTTTAAATAAAGCTTTATGTGGAGCTACAGCTATTGGAGGGACGAGGCGAAGGGTCTGCTCGTGATTATTTGCTGCCTGTGTTCTCCATGGCGACACACGTGATTGTTTCTGGAATGCATAGCGCACTGTCAGTTTGGTGATGGTGAACGAAGGCTTTCGTGCGTGGTGCCCGTGGGCCCCACCGTGCCTTACCTTGGCGATGTCCTGCATGAGTGAAACCTTGAAATCCCAGTCCATCAGTGTCTCCTCAGGGTACGCTACATCGTCATCCAGGATGTCCTGCTTCCCACACAAGTCACACGCACCGCCACTGTGCATAGCAGTGCCAAGGAGGAGACCGAGTGAGATGCGTGTGTAGCAGATTGGCTCCCGTGGACAGACGCCACTCGTCTTGGGTTATGTCTCCCTTGGGTCAGTAGACGTGGCCTCTGTAAAACTTATGGTTTGCTTGGTGGTCACCGGCCAGCAGCTGCTCAGCGGTGGAGCGAGCGACTCACAATCGGGAGGCCATCAGTTCGAAACCTGGTGGGGGGGTTGACTCAACCCATTATCATCATCATCCCTCTGGGGTGGAGGAAATGAGCAGCACTTTGTGGGAAAGCCAACAGTGGTTGTCTTATAAATATACTCGCCCCTACCATAGGAACGTGGAATAACCACCACTGTCCCAGGGCTGTAAACAAAATATGGGCGCCAATGCCTCAGTGCTTATTTGAGCAATAACTCACTCTTGACTGTTTGGGTATAGCCGGCGTGTGTGGATACGATAGTAGTCCTCTTCCTGCAAGTGTACGAGCTGCGAGCTCCCAGTACCTGCCAGGGGTGTTCTCTGGAGTTTTGGATTGACATGAAAATATGGCCAAGATAGAAAATTGTGTGGGATAATTCTGAACGGGGAAGTAATGTTACTAACATGACATCACTTTCACTGTCTCGCTGCCAAGAACTGGTGACACGCTGCGTCACATGTCTAGAAACACAAACATATAACCTCAATTGCACACATACAACAAAAACCCAACATGTTTCTTAAAATCATAAAAACTTCTCAACCGAGACTCATGCCTACTCAATCCAGAGTGCACGTGCAGAGCATCGCTCACACTGTGCACACCGCACACTTAAGCCATCTTTCTATTACACGTTGTGCTCAGCGCCGGCACTGTTGCTTGCGTTCAGAAGTCCGCCCAGGTGGAGGACTCGGCAGGGTTCTGTGTTTATCCGCGGAGTGAGGGGTGGGGCAGCCCCACTCACCCGCAGAGCGGCGCGGCTGCAGAACTCCACCACCGCGTACGTCGCGCCCACGTCCGTCGTCGTCCCATAGAATTTTACCAGGTTCTCAAAGTCCAAAGCCACCAACTGCACCATGCGTCAACAGAATCAGACGCCCGCAAATCAAACCACATTTCGTGTCGCACGAGAATACGACTCTGTTGGTGTTATGCAATGTAACGCGTGTACCTTCATGGCCTGCTGTTTGCCTGATTCCACGACCTATTGCACAGCACCCACCTTCTGGAATGTCCTCATAACCGATCTCAATACCTTGTCTAGCCATGCATGTGTGAAGCCCATGCTGCAGTGTTACCTCTGCCATTATAAACTATTTTTATTTTACCAGGTAAGGCCCACTGAGCTATATAGTTATTTTTCAATGAAGTGGCTTATCATGTGGAATCCTAGAATCTCACTCAGATCAAGAAAAACGATGGAGAATAGAGTGGAACAATGCAGATGTCCATAATGAACGCATCAACATCATACCTCTTAGCTTTAACATTCCTCCGCAATTAGCACAGTTGGCTATGTACGGTGCTAAAGAAGGTCAACATATATATATATATATATACGTACCATCGACCGTATCACGATGTCAACAGGCCGATGTGCACATCGCCTTCATATATGGGAAATTAAAGACAAGCCACAGTAATGTGATTGTGGCCATGCAACCAAAACTATGGACCATATTGTAAACCACCTTAGTCTGTGCTCCTTCAACAGAGGAAGAACAGCAAAACTAAACCAATTCTCTCTCCTGAAGCACTATCTTGGACAGCAGGCCACGACATTGGTATTTATCGCCTGAATGTATTGCCATGTTCAAGACTAGAAACCTCTGCCACTATTGCAATGAATGCTATACAGTGAGGGAAAAAAGTATTTGATCCCCTGCTTGCTGATTTTGTACATTTGCCCACTGACAAAGAAATCATCAGTCTATAATTTTAATGGTAGGTTTATTTGTACAGTGAGAGACAAAATAACAACAACAAAATCCAGAAAAACGCATGTCAAAAATGTTATAAATTGATTTGCATTTTAACGAGGGAAATAAGTATTTGACCCCTCTGCAAAACATGACTAAGTACTTGGTGGAAAAACCCTTGTTGGCAATCACAGAGGTCAGACGTTTCTTGTAGTTGGCCACCAGGTTTGCACAAATCTCAGGAGGGATTTTGTCCCACTCCTCTTTGCAGATCTTCTCCAAGTCATTAAGGTTTCGAGGCTGACGTTTGGCAACTCGAACCTTCAGCTCCCTCCACAGATTTTCTATGGGATTAAGGTCTGGAGGCTGGCTAGGCCACTCCAGGACCGTAATGTGCTTCTTCTTGAGCCACTCCTTTGTTGCCTTGGCCGTGTGTTTTGGGTCATTGTCATGCTGGAATACCCATCCACGACCCATTTTCAATGCCCTGGCTGAGGGAAAGAGGTTCTCACCCAAGATTTGACGGTAAATGGCCCCGTCCATCGTCCCTTTGATGCGGTGAAGTTGTCCTGTCCCCTTAGCAGAAAAACACCCCCAAAGCATAATGTTTCCACCTCCATGTTTGACGGTGGGGATGGTGTTCTTGGGGTCATAGGCAGCATTCCTCCTCCAAACACGGCGATTTAAGTTGATGCCAAAGAGCTCAATTTTAAGTCTCATCTGACCACAACACTTTCACCCAGTTGTCCTCTGAATCATTCAGATGTTCATTGGCAAACTTCAGACGGGCATGTATATGTGCTTTATTGAGCAGGGGGACCTTGCGGGCGCTGCAGGATTCCAGTCCTTCACGGCGTAGTGTGTTACCAATTGTTTTCTTGGTGACTATGGTCCCAGCTGCCTTGAGATCATTGACAAGATCCTCCCGTGTAGTTCTGGGCTGATTCCTCACCGTTCTCATGATCATTGCAACTCCACGAGGTGAGATCTTGAATGGAGCCCCAGGCCGAGGGAGGTTGACAGTTCTTTTGTGTTTCTTCCATTTGCGAATAATCGCACCAACTGTTGCCACCTTCTCACCAAGCTGCTTGACAATGGTCATGTAGCCCACTCCAGCCTTGTGTAGGTCTACAATCTTGTCCCTGACATCCTTGGAGAGCTCTTTGGTCTTGGCCATGGTGGAGAGTTTGGAATCTGATTGATTGATTGCTTCTGTGGACAGGTGTCTTGTATACAGGTAACAAGCTGAGATTAGGAGCACTCCCTTTAAGAGTGTGCTCCTAATCTCAGCTCGTTACCTGTATAAAAGACACCTAGGAGCCAGAAATCTTTTTGATTGAGAGGGGGTCAAATACTTATTTCCCTCATTAAAATGCAAATCAATTTATAACATTTTTGACATGCGTTTTTATGGATTTTGTTTTTGTTATTCTGTCTCTCACTGTTCAAATAAACCTACCATTAAAATTATAGACTGATCATTTCTTTGTCAGTGGGCAAACGTACAAAATCAGCAGAGGATCAAATACTTTTTTCCCTCACTGTAGCTAAGCTCCGTTATGTCTGAGGCTGTATACACGAAACATTTACACATCTGTTACACTGTTGTTTTTAATGTAAGTAGTGTATTTATTGTTTGTACTGTTTGGAGTAAGTTCTAGTGTGGGTTTCGTGTAAGTAATGTATCATTGTGTTTGCTCTTGTGTGCACATTTCCACTCTGCAATGTTCTGAAACTACAATGCCCTGAAACTGCCGTCATTGCCAGCAGTCTTGGGCTGTATTCATCCTTGTGACGTGAGTCTCCTCATGCATTGTGTGAATGAGGGACAGTAACTTGCATTGTTAAGCTCCAGCTTTTGTGGTCGTGAGAAGTCCTTCTCAGCCAGGCAGAGCGGCTTCAGAGCAACCACCTGAGTCAGATGCACATGCATACACCCCGCCATCAACAACAGCATCTGTCAGTCACCACTAAGTGGCCACAACGTCACCACGATGCCTGTGGCAGGCCAGGTGAGTCCATGTGAAGTGTGAAGGCTCGCTGCTGGCAGGTCACTTGACAAACCCAGGTGTTATGGGTTTAACTGACCGAAGTTAATGGCAGATGCGCCAGTCACTCAGGTACAAAACGCAGCGACTGCACAGTCAGACAGAGACGCAACACAAAGTTAGATTACCCCTGTGCAGGCCTAGACAGAACCTCCATGCAAGCAGAGGATTTTGTACCCTGAGCAGAATTTTAATCCGTTTTTCATTGAGTGACAACTCGGGGCCGCCACGTTATCCACACAGTAGGTGCCAATTCACGAACAGGTGGTGACCCCAGTGACGATACCGGGCTCTCACTCCCTATGATGCAATCCCTGTGAACGCACCCGATCTCACTGGATCTCAGAAGCAAAGTAGCCTTGAATCTGGCGAACCTGCATGGGTGCCCTGCGCCGGGATACACCAGCTGGCACACACGGGGCTGTGATATCGCCAATGGCGTGGATCTTTCCATGGATTGACATCATCTGTGCGGCGCTTGGCTCATCCAGCAGTGAACTAGCCACGGCTGATGATGGTGATAATGATTATGACAACTGTTAGTGTTGATGCGCAGCAGAGATGGTGTGTGGCACCGTGCCGTGCCGGCGGAACTCACTTTGTTGTCGTACTTGCGCTTGAGGAAGCACGGTGCACACGGAGGCACCGGGCCATGGCTCCCATCCACGCTTAGCTTTTCTATTCGCACCTGGGCACACGCAATGGCACAGTGCTCGCTATGTTGCGGAGAGAACGGCACAGCCACTCCTAGATTGGAGAGGTGTGCTCCTCTGTGAGGCTGAAATATGGAGGTTGGAGCGGTGTGCTCCCTGTAGTGAGATTTTATAATAAGCCCAGCGAGCCACATTAATGTATAGACTCTATAAAGTAGGGTTGGCCAAACATACAATATAGGACCACAAAACTTGGGCAATTGTTGGCGCTGGATCTTGCTGCGTTCCGTGCGATTACGAATCCCGTGGTGTTTGAGTGCCACGTTCCATGAGTGCCATGTGTCCATCGTGACGGTGTTTACTAAGAGGCACCTCGAATGTGAGATGAGCCTCGTCGTCAGGAAGAGTCTGCAGCTCACTCCAGGGGATCACCCATCGCTGTCTGCTCAGCTGCTTCTCCACTGCATACTTCCTAAGGGTCGGGTGGCAGCGTGGTATTGGTAGTGATAATATATGTAATCGTGGTGGTGTTTGTGGCAATTGTGATGTTCATGGTGGTGGTGGTGAACGTGGTGGTGTTCTTGGTGGTGGTGTCAGTGGCAGCCATGGCAGTAGTTGTGGCAGTGGTGGTGGCGATCGTGGCAGTGGTGGTGGTGTTCATGGTAGTGATGGTGCTGGTGGTGGTGGCGGTGGTGTTCGTAGTGGAGTCAGCAGTAGCAGTGGTGATGGTGGTCAGGTGGCGGTGGTGGTGTTTTTGGTGATGGTGGAGGTGGTGGAAGGAGTCTGGCAAAAACAACCCCCTACCTCCTCATTGGTGCCGGACGGCAACGCTGTGGTGAGCAGTGCCGTGGGAGGAGGGCCAATTTAGATTGGCCATTCCCCTCATGGCATTTGTAACCACCACAGCAGCCAAATGGGGGCTCCGGATGGGTGCGAGGGGCTGGTAACCCCCCCACCTTCAATGAATTACCACTAAACCACAATTTAAAACTTAAAATAAGCTTGTGCTGGAGGCCCCGGGGGGACAGGCAGGAGACTGAATCCTTACCCTCGGGGCTCCTCCAGAAACAGCAAAAAGTCACTTCGGATGGCCACGTGGAATGTTCGAATGCTCACTGCGGAGGAGAGGCTGCCACTCCTCTGTCGGGAGCTGGATCGGTACCGCCTCGATCTCTGTGGTATTCAGAAGGTCCGGTGGACCAGCTCTGGCTCCTGCCACCATGAGGGGTGGACAGTCCTCTCTCTAGTCGGGGCAGGAGACTGCCAAACAACAGGGAGTGGCTCTTCTTCTGAACAAAAGAATGAAGGGGGCGTGGGAGCGTGGCGGTGAGGTGTAGGAAGCTATAAGCCTCAGGCTACTTTGGGCTCGCCTTCCCATCAACCAGAGGTGAGAAGTGATGGTCGTGGTTCCTTATGCCCCCACCAAAGACGAACATCCATGGAGGGATGCAGGCAAGGCCGATGAGTCAGATGCCTTCTATGACCTCCTGTCACAGGTGCTGGCTAAAGTGGCCCCTCGGGATACAGTCATCTTGTTGGGTGACTTCAATGCCCGAGTTGGTCATGATGCTAGCACCTGGTCTGGAGTGATTGGAAGACATGGGCCAGATCAGCTCAATAACAATGGTAGGAGGCTGCTAGATTTTTGTGCAGCCCATGGGCTTGTAATTACCAACACGCTGTTCCGGCATCGGCGCATCCACACATCATGGATGCATGCCGGGTCCAAGCACGGACATCTGCTGGACTACATAGTGACAGAACAGAGGATGGGGCCCATGTCCTTGACACCAGGACCTAACGTGGAGCTGATCTGCCCACTGACCATCGACTTGTCACCTGTAAGATGTGCCTGCCATTCTTCCACTCCGGTAGTGGGTATACTGTTATATATATAGGCCTTTTTCCAAAAAATAATATTAAGAATAATTCTGCCATTTTATAATAATAATCGATAAAATAAATAAATAAAACAAACTCAAACCCGCTACCTCCCACAAGCACCAAGCATCTGGAGGTCGTAAAAGGCCATTAAATAATAAACTCCGGGGCAAAGGGAGGTTAACGACGATCTGCAGAATCTCCAGATTGCCAAACGACCGCATGCCATGACCTGCTTGGCGCTTTGGACAGTTCACAAACAAATATCCAGAATCACTGGCACGGATGCCAGCGAGTGTGCCGTGGGTTCAACCCACACGCACAGTGACCAGCATCAGCTGGGAACCAAGACAAGAGTGAGGAACTGCAGCCAGTGGACGAGCTGCGGGCACTATCTGACGACGGATCATCGCGCACCAATGGCGAGCGTCGTGCCGACTCTTCCACCCAGCTGTGGACAGAACTGTGGCCGCCCGTGTGAAAGAAGGAGTGCCAAGCTGTCCGTATGATACACACACCCTCACACCCTCACCGCTCCGCAGGGAACAAACACATTTTTGATACAAGGGATGCCCAACCCCGGCGTCTGCTTAACGCAAAGAATTAATGCAAGAAGACCAACAACACTTACACATTAACACATACAAAAAGACTCATGATACGTGCATCAACTATTAGCTGATAACGAAGAACATTACGGCCCATTGAGTTACGTGGATACGGTCATTTAGAAGTAATTTATTCGTTCGTTTTTTTTAATTGCATAATCTTACCAATGAATTAATTGAAAACTACTCTTGCCTTCGGGACATGTTTCTTTATTGCCCTTCGTATGCATTTTGAAGGACTTTTCCTCTCGCCGTGTATGCTCGCATACTCTGAGGAATAATCGATTGTACTGTTACCCAGTTAACAACGTGATAATTGAGGGTAAATGTATAGATCGATGAGGGGAACATCTCCAGGAGTACTGTGTTGACAATTCCAAGCATAAGAGTTCGCATATTAGAGTGTTAAGGTTTGTTTAGAAAATAAAATTGCGTAACACAGAAGTGTCTGAGTGGTGCCGTCCTAAGTTCATGCATAATAATCTTAATTATAAGAACTGTATCCTGCGGTGAGATTTTAATTTGGAGACCTGACATAAACACTAATACATAATCAGTAAATGTTAAAGCGAGAATAATTGTATTATACCGATTGATAATACAAACCTAGACAACGAAGCCGAGCTTAATCTAGCATACTTACAGGACACCTGCATAACTTCATACAATTTATTATCTTATCCCGATTGATGATACGACCCTGGGCAACGAAGCTAAGGCTTATTATCATAACTGCCCACATTAGCATAATCACATACATTTGCATAACGTAAGACGATTACACCTTCCCAATTAGCATAATTAATGTGCATAATTACAGCAATTAACATAATTTAACCTGGTCAAGGCCTATGATACCATCAGTAGGCCTGGGCTCTGGGTTGTTCTTCGTGCTTTCGGAGTCCCTGACCCGCTGCTCAGGATCATTAAGGAACTTCATGATGGTGAGCAGGCCCGGGTAAAACTACGTGGCCGGGAGTCGGAGCCATTCCCTGTTCACTTTGGGGTGCGACAGGGATGTCCTCTGGCTCCCACATTATTTAACATCTATTTCTACCATGTAGTTCAATAGCTGTACCGGAAAAATTTCCATCTGGTACAGATACAATGGGAAGCCGGTCGATGCCCGGGTGTGGTCAAGGGATGGCTCCCTATCGCTCAACCATGTTATGCATGCCGATGATCTGGTAATTGCCGCTCACTCAGAGGAGAAGTTGGAGGCGCTGCTGCTGAACCTGGAGCTTGCCACTAAGAGGTGGGGACTTACCATCAGCCCCACCAAAACTAAGCACCTGCCTGGGTATTTTGTACCATTGGACACTCCACCCTCACAACTCCCAATTGGTGATAGGGCCGTTATGGAGAGCTTCCCAAACCTGGCCAGTGTGCTCATGACCAGCTCCAGTTTGACAGCAGAGGTCTCACTCCGAATCAGTCGAGCGGCATTATCTTTTAATCGGTTGCGTAATGCTGTGTGAAACCTACCTGGTCTGTCGCTCCACACGAAGCTTAAGGTCTTCTCAGCCACAGTCATTCCCTCCCTTCTCTACGCTTGTGCAACGTAGACCCCCCTAATGGAACATCTTCGCTGGTTAGAAACATTTAGGCTGGCGTGCCTAGGATCCATCTTGGGTTGGCTGGGTCATGTAGCCCGCATGCCCAGCCACTGCATGTCTAAACAGCTTTTGTTCGGCCGGATCGAGGGGGCTAAATGGGTGCGGCATGGGCTCGAGAAAAGATGGAGTGATGTGGTACAGGAGGATGTGGAGCTGAGTGGACTTGCCGATGACTGGTACCAGCGGTGTCAAGATCAGCCTCTGTGGAGGAGGCTCGTAAAGGATGCTACTGGGCAGTTGGAGGAAGTCGCCCTCCAACGACAACGGAGGGGGGAGGAGCAACGCTCATAACAACGAGCGGAACGCCGGGTGGCTAAAGCAGAGCAGGTTGACACAGTAGGGGGCACAGGTGGTGCATCAGCCAGTCGTCTCAGTCAGTCGACCCGTGGCACCTGGGTCTGCCCCGTGACCTCCTGCCAGCGGGCGTTCGACATTTCACGTGGCCTCAACATGCACATAGCCTGGCACAAGCGTTGTGGTGATGTCACCACCACTTAGTGGCAAATGGCAGTTGTTGTTGGTGGTGGATAGTGGTGTTCGTGGTGGTTGTGGTGGTTGTGGGATGGCATGAGAAGTCGTCACCTCCACATGATGATGAATCCGAGAAAGAGCAGGAAAAGGAGGCTGCACACAGCCACCAGCGCGATCTTCACCACCTCCATCATCTTCGGTGCTGATGGGGAAAGGCCACAATAGCACTGAGTAAGCAGTGCAATTGTATTGTTCTAATCATTTACTATAAATATATTTCACCTAGAAACTCCCTTGGGATGGGATATCTCGTTTACACAGTCATTCAATCCAGTGCCTCGTGATGTAGTTTCCATCACCCAACAACAACACTGGGACTAGCGCATCTCGTGAAATATCGGACATTCTGGAGGAGTGAGTTAGGTCGCCACCTCTTCCATGCAGAGTGAGCCCGGACTCGCATCTCAGTCGGCCTAGGCCTGTCAGCACCATTGTGCAGTCTCCTACGACAGAGTTGAACACAGTCACCAGCACCAGATCTTGGTACAAATCAATCCCTGCCATCCGAATACAGCAGAAGCCAATTACTGGACTGTACCAGGTCACACCCGGATGGGTGGCGACCTCAGTTGACAAGAGCAGGCTTTCACACCCAATGACCCAAGGAGCTAATTCATCAGTGGGATATGGTAAGGGGTGGAGGTGGGAGGGCACGTACAATTGGGGGTGTCGTCCGGCAGCTGGTTGCCCAGCCAGGGTAGTGTCACGTTCTCTGCCAGGAGGAAGGTGCCCAGGCCCGTGGAGTAGTCCCACACCTCCTCAAACTATCCCCGCACACACAGAGAGGAGCGCCGCACCATCAGTGAGGATGCAGCGTTCACTCAGCACCTCGGCCACACACACACATAAATGTGCACGCCACGCGTACACATCGGCAGACAGTGGACTATATCGCTGGTGGCGACCCAAGGTGGAATTGCTAACGAGTTAAACTATGTGGTGATGCTGTGTTGGCAGTGGTACACAAACACAAAAACAAATAAACTCAACACATTCATTAATAACACCGTGGCCTTAAAACGAAGTACTGCATATAAAGTAGGTGACGCTTTAGGCAATGGCCCTTCTTCATGGCACATAATGCACTATGAACACTTACTTAAAAGGAAGAGCACTCCACACCTTGTAAACTGTATTAGATCAACCCCAGCCAACATGCGCAGATCCCTGCCCTCACACATTTCACCCACTACCCCACGTCCTCTTACCAACCCACCACATGTAAATTTTTGACAAAAGCTTAGCCAACCCAAAACAATCTCAGCAATGAGCTCTGTAACTCAGGACGAGCACGACTTATAGCGCCGGACCGCATCTTTATCGTTGGAATGAACTGTACATCAAAAATGTTAATAAAGTAAATAAAAAAATATTCAATTGGTGACGTTTCAGGAAATGGCCCTGATTAAGCGCATATGCCATGAAGAAGGGCCATTGCTTTTTTAAGGTAGTGTTGCTGATGAACAATGAGTGGTGAGGCTGGCAACTCGGCACCAGCCTCTGGTGCTGGCATATGGAGGGGGAACCTTGTTGCCGCGGAGGTTGAGGATCTTGATATTCGTGTCCCGGTCGCCGTTCTCATCGATATAGATATCCTCCTCCAGGCCTGTCCCATCACACACGGCGATGTGTTACCACGTGCCCCTGTCCCATCACAAGGGGCGATGCGTCACAACGTGCCCCTGTCCCATCACAAGGGGCGACGCGTCACCACGTGCCCCTGCCCCATCACAAGGGGCGATGCGTCACAACGTGCCCCTGTCCCATCACAAGGGGCGACCCGTCACCACGTGCCCCTGTCCCATCACAAGGGGCGATGTGTTACCACGTGCCCCTGTCCCATCACAAGGGGCGATGCGTCACAACGTGCCCCTGTCCCGTCACAAGGGGCGACGCATCACAACGTGCCCCTGTTCCGTCACACTGAGCGATGCGTCACCACGTGCCCCTGTCTCATCACACGGGGCGATTCATCACAACGTGCCCCTGTCCCGTCACATGGGGCGATTCGTCACCACGTGCCTTTGTCCCGTCACATGGGGCGATACGTCACCACGTGCCCCTGTCCAGTCACACTGAGCGATACGTCACCACGTGCCCCTGTCCCGTCACAAGGGGCGATACGTCACCACGTGCCCCTGTCCCGTCACAAGGGGCGATTCGTCACCACGTGCCCCTGTCCCGTCACACGGGGCGATACGTCACCACGTGCCCCTGTCCCGTCACAAGGGGCGATACGTCACCACGTGCCCCTGTCCCGTCACAAGGGGCGATACGTCACAACGTGCCCCTGTCCCGTCACATGGGGCGATACGTCACAACGTGCCCCTGTCCTGTCACACACCAGGAGATGAAATAGAACCGGCGACCCATGGGTTCTGAGTCTGGCGCACTGCTCACAGCCGCACCGCCGCTGCGATAGCAGCAGCTGCCTTCACATCCCAGTGAATAAACAAATGCACTAGACGTCTCAATCCAAGCGATGAAACAGGTTTAACTGTTTTCTTCACGCGGTTACTGGTAACACAACTACTCTTGTCTCTACGCGGTGGCACTGCATGATGCCGTGGGGTCGTGTGTTGCCAACGACCTTGGAAGTGCAGATTTCGAAAGCTGCGAGCGTCCGCGCTGTTGCACGAATAGCTGCCCTGCTGAAGGCCCCTGCGCAGCACCGAGCCATACAACAGCACGCTGTCGTAGTAGCCCACTACAAAGTGGTTGCTCTGCAGCACAGAGACATAGCACAAAGAGTACAGCGAACACAGAGACCAGGTTCACACCACACACAGAGGAAGGGTTCAGATTACAGAAATAAAGAGTTGTGAACAGCAGTGTGGTGGTTGTGTTGTTGTTGTGACCTGCAATGCCCTGTGACAGCCCTGCGTTGTAATTGTGGCATGAATACCAAGCATACTCAATCAAACTTTGTCCAGGTGTCACAGTACGAAAAGGGCAGTAAAGTGGTGACACAAAAGGGCAACAGACAGGACATACGATGAGCAGGAAAGGGAAGCTATGCTGGAACAGAAGTCCGCAAGCCGGACAAACAGCGCACAGCTCAAGATGAGTAGCAAGGACTAAGAAGGAGCACCGGGCAGGAGATGGAGGAGAATGAATGGCAAGGCCAAGATGTCGGGGATGAGAGGGTGGTGATGATCAGAGGGGGCGAAGAGAGAAGGCGTGAGCAGCAGTGAGCTGCACGAAGGAGCCGTGTCTGTTTTCACAAGGGGTGGTGCGGAGAGGGAAGGAATTCAGAATGGGGGTGGTCACACAGAAGTCACGTGATTTACGGGAGCTTGAGCTGATTTAGATATGTATGTTTGTTGAACTTCTTTCACACCGTACGTAGCCAACCCCACGTAGCCAACTGTGCTAATTGGAGATAGACCATTATAATTGGTTATGGGGTGAGAGCTGAGGAGTGTGCAGAGTACGGTGCGACTGCCGTGTGCTGCCGCTCGCATCTCACGGTGAGGTTGAATTTATCGCCGAAGGCTGTGGCCTGCCTCTCAGGCAGCGTCACGATGAGCGCTCGCTCCAGTGCCGAGCTGTGGTTCTCATACGTCTTATAGTAGTCCAGGCTGGATGGGGGGCAGAGAGGGGGAGAGGGACGACGCGGGGGAAAGGGGATGGGGAAGGGAGGCGCCTTGGTTAAAGAGTCGACCAAATACCTTCTAAAGCTCCCTCTAGTAGAGGCCCTTCTGCCAGCAGTGGATTGAGCGAGCACTTGGAGGGATGCACCTTTACCTTTTAACTGAGATTCGAGAGCAAATGAACTACGCCATGACTTAGGCCACCGTGCAGTTTGTACGTTAGCACTATCCGATCAGCGCATTCCCTACGGTTCACAGGAATCGGTTACCAGTTCCTGGCACAGTAAATGGTTTGCAGTGGCTAGCGGGTTAGCGTTTTAGCAGCCCGCATTAAAACCTATCCCGAGCGAGGAGCCGACGGATCCGGCAGTGCGGAGCTTTCCCCGTATGGGGGGGGGCGCCTCGTGGTGACCCCCGACACCCCCCCCCCCACCCCCCAGGGCACGCTCACCCAAACAGGTCGATCACCACGAACACCAGTTGCTCACGCGTGTCCGGAGACAGGTGCCCGAGTCCCTTGATGACCTCCTCCGCCCGGGTCAGGCTGGCGCACATGATGATCACTGTTGGGCGGAGATCGCGGGGTCACAACTCGAGACGCAGAGAGTTCGGCACGGTGGCACGTATCGTGCTGTGGAGTGGGCACACACCCGGCACCCCCGCCCCCTGGTACCGTTGCTGTGCCGCGTCCGGCTGAGCGTGGTGTTGAAACGCGCGAACGTGTCGAGCGCCAGGACGTGGTCCTTGCCGAGCAGTCCACGCAGCGACATGAAATTCTGACCCAGGGGCCCCTGCACGTTCTCCAGCAGGGCCTGCAGGTACCTTCACCCGCAGACACATACACAGAGTTGCAGCACGGGCAATCACAATCACAGCACGAGCAATCACATTTACAATGCAGGTTCCCTCTGAAACAAAGAAGATCCAGCTTTAGCGAAAGTTGATCAAATTTACTGTTTATGTCACGTAACTCACAATGCTGATCCCGCCAGGCGGCCGAGCGGTAGAAAAAGTGGATCACAGTCGTAAGGTGGCAAATTAAAATCCCGTTTGAGGGTCGACTCAGCCAATCATCACCTCTCCTTCCGGAGTCGACACAATGAGTAAACGAGCACCACTTTGCGGGGAAAATCAATGGCGGTTGTCCTCTGGATAGACTTGCCCCAACCATAGAGCAGTGGAATCACCACTACCGACTCTGAAGGGCTGTACACGGGACATGAGCACCGATGCCTGGACGCTCAACTGGGCAGGAAGCTGCCTTGGCAGCGTGGCTCTCCACCACCGTGAGGCGAGCGCGGGGCCCACCAGAAGCAGACGTTGGCGTCGTTGTTGCCCTCGGTGAAGACAATGGCCGTGCGCCAGGTGAACTGCTTGCGCGCGTCCGTGTGCGCCCACAGGCGCGTGAGCATCGTCGAAATCTTGATGGCCGGGACGAGTGTGCGGCTTAGGATGGCGCTGTAGGTGGTGGACAGTCCGAAGCTGCCTGCCGCGATCACGGGCCGGTTGAACACGCTCTGGGACCTGGCGCAGACAGCCGCACGCGTCCAGGTCACGGGCACATTTTAAATACATAAAATACATACATATGCGAACTTGACTTAAAGCTTTCGTGACTGCAGGAATTAATATTCTTTGGGTTTTTCGGTAAAGTCAGGTAGATAGGTTCAAAGAAAATAAGAAAAAACTACTAGAAAATAACAAAAACTACGACGTTTCGATCACAACACAAGCGTTCGTCATCAGGAAGAGGGGGTTCCTGATGACGAACGCTTGTGTTGTGATCGAAACGTCATAGCTTTTGTTATTTTCTTTGAACCTATCTACGTGACTCTACCGAAAGACCCAAATAATATGTCAGCTTATTTACCCAGGAGAGCCTCACTAAGTCTGTTGGATGGCCAACATCACGTCCGGCTGCCTTTGTCTCCCCAGTGCTGATGTTTTACACACTATACCAGGTACTCGTTTAAAGCAGAGTCCCCCTTAGGGAGGCCCAGGAATTATTCAAATATTAGGCCTCGCAGGTCGCAGCTACCTCTGCAGCGCCAGACTGCAGGCGGCATTGCGTGGCCACCGCCAAGACGGAGACCGCTTGCCACGTGTGGCACGGCCAACGTCTGGACGCGACGGCTCCTACAAAGGGGACACAAATTCCTTTCACCGCCGTCACGACGACAGATGTTCCCAAGTGAGAGCGCAGCCTCGGCTTCATTTTTGCTGCGGTGGTACCTGCACCCACTTTAGTTAAACGCAGCTCGCTCACCTTGGCGGTGAATATCACAGTTATGGTAGCCCCCCACTAAACAGCTCTACCCCCCCCCCCAACCACAAAGGAGCTGGAGCTGGGCCTCGTTCACACAGAGCCGGTGGGCTCTACACACAGTCCAGCACAGTGACAGCTACAACCCAGCCACAAACAGCACTACCACTCCCTTTCTCTCGACACGCACCTGAGAAGGGAGTAGGAGGAGTACTGGCAGGACGGGCCCACGATCACGCATCCCAGCTGATCGTTGGCCTGCGGTGAGGAGCACACAGACAGCGCTGCTGAGTAAGTGTGGAGGGGGGCTGCACCGTTTACAAATGTCACCCCGCCGCACACACAAATTATTGTGCGACCCCAGCCCAGCAGAGCCAAGTCTGATCTCCTCTACCTGGACTAGTTTCCCAAATCCGGTCGTTGGTCGAGGAAAGGCTCTAGGATATACAGTGTATACAGCATGATATGCAGCATAACAGACTGCTAGGCTTTCAGATTATGGGGCGATGGTTGCTGTGTGATCCTAATTGAGTAATGTGCAGGTGATTTTTCAGAATTGGGATGTTTGGCCAATACCACTTGTACGTATGTATGTTCTTATCTTAATGAGATTAATATAGCGCCAATACCAAGGTGTTTAACAGCAATTTTAAAATTGAACATAGCATGACAATTTGAAATAAAGAATTGTTATTGTATGTGGAGTAGTTTTGATGCAGCAAAGCAAGATGGATTGATAAAGAGTGGTCGTAGTTGGGGGCGACAGAAAGCTGGGGGCTGAAAGGTAATCAGCCAACATTGCATTGGGAAAACAAAGGGGGGCAGTGAGGGGCTGGAGCCAGGAGGGAGAAGGGGGCCACCGCGTTCAAGTCCCCCGCTCCGCCGATGACGTCCGCAACGTCCGTGTAGTGCAGCAGCGGAGTTCCGGCCTGACCTTAATAGCACTCAACCAGAAAGCCTCCAGTTCATTCACTGGCAAATGCGCAAGGCCCTGCGATTCACGCGTGAAGTCAGATCCTCATAAACATCCAGAGGGCATGGTGCGTGCCAGTGATCGCTGGAGCAGCAACACAGATGCAGAGTCCCGTGATCCCATGAACTGCCTTGGGCACAATCACAATTTTTAATTGTGTATCCATCTAGCTCAAGCCTCCCATATATAATGTGACTTCTCTGTGGGAGGCCACTCCCACTGATTCCCTCCACTCTCACCACTGCCCCCGGTGAAAATGGACGCTGCTCCTCCGTGCAACTCACTGTTCGCTCCTTCCTCCTCTCATCACCCTCTCATCCCCGACATCTCGTCCCAGTCATTCTTTCTCCTCCTCGACTTCCTGCCTGGCACTCCTCCTTCTCTTTTTCTGATGCTCATCTTGAGATATGCCCTCTCTGTCCATCTTGGGGACTTCCATCCCGGTCTCCCTTCTCTCTCCCGTTCCTGGCTCTTTTTCCATCCATTACATCCTCGTCTTATTCGGGTACAACGTTTTAATATTGGTCATGCAGGGCCCTCTTTAAAGAGCTTGAAATTTAGGGGCAGCCATGAGAAATGTCTTGCACCATCTCTGCTTCCTGCCTTGCAGTGATTGAGGCAGCCTCGCCAGACGCGTGCATGGGGACCGTGACTCTGCCATGTGATGCCGCGGCGCTGTGAGTGCGTGTCGGGCCTCGAGGCGTCCTCCTCACCTTGAGCGCCTTGACCAGCTCCCTGGCCTCGCAGTCCGTGTCCTCGCAGCTCGAGGCTTTGCTCTCCAGCCACTCAGAGCTGTAGCAGTCAAACGTTGCGTTGAGCCTCACGCCCGTGCCTGGCGTGAAACGACACCGCGCGTGAGAACTCTTTCTGCTACGTATATCTATGTACGTTGAGCTTATTTCGCACCGTATGTAGCCAACCATGCTAATTGGAGGTGCAACAGCTGGGACACTGAGGTCATAAACCGCCTCGTGTGCAGGTTAGCGTCGCTGCACACTTTCAAATCCAACGCACTTTGTATCTCACCACGAGTGGGAAACAACTTCGTGAGATGGCGATCAGTATTCAGTGCGATCAGTGAGAAAATGAGCACAGGGGTGGTGCCCACCTCCCATTTAAATCCCTGAGCTATCAGTGGAAATTCCTCGTTCTTGTTGACTTCCCCATGAAATTTAGCTAATTTTATAACAATGCCTTTAATGCAGGAAATACTCACAGAGAATCAACACAATATTTTAGCGAGAAGGGTTTATATCGGGAGATTCCAGGAATGCGTGTTTGGTGTATGGGAGGAAACCTATGAAAACGAATAGGGCACCACTCGAAAGTCCACACTTGCAGATGTAATAACCCATTACGTTTCTGCCACCTGGTCTTTTTAGGGAATCATATCTGCTTAATTGTTTTTCTGTGACGTGGATCAGATACGTGGCCTAGTTTCCTTGTAACCAGTGTTGTCTGCGTGCTTTGTTGACCAGTTGGCTTACATTCCTTGTGAATGACCCAAACTCCTGGGATTACATTGCTTCAAACATGTCTTTGCTTACTCTCCCGTCTGCATCACAGTTTGATGCGAGATGAATATTCTGGATGAACACGTCACTTGCTGGACGCATGGCCTGGTCTAATTATGCACGAAGTGCAGTGATCACCCGGACTTGATGTTCCTATCGCTTCATTAAACCGTGAACGGGTTTCATGTGCCGATTCTCATTACTGGAAATTAAATGTTGTTTATTCTGGAATGCAGTTATTTTTGCTCTGATTTATATTTGGTTTGTTGTTATGCATAATGTATTATTTGTTGTGCTTCTATTATTTTAAGACTCATCCCAGTCTCTTGAGTTCTTGCCTGAGTAAACAAATATACTTGAATGCTGACGCGTTTGCCGTCACCGAGTTGTTTCCCTCTCGTGGTGAGACATCGGATTTGAAAGCGTGCAGTGGGCCAGGTCTTGGGGTTGGCAGCGACGTTGACCCGCACGCGAGGCGGTTTATGGCCTAATTGCCCCTGCTGTTGCCAGTAGCGCGCCTATTACGAGCTGTTTACACGAGCCATAGTGCGGGGGCTACTGCTCGGGGGGTAATGTCGCGCAGTTTATTTGTATCCAGGCGCACGACGTGAATAGCTGCGTGAAACTCCAAGGTTAACATCGATTCGTGCAGTTACTATGTAAATGCGAATGGTGCTATGCAGGCTAAATAAAACGCGACGATTAGTCAAAGCACCCGAGGTAGGGGAATGACTCGTTTGAGCCATTACGGTTCCTGACCCACACGTGGTTGATTGGTACCAACCACGGTGTCCAATGCTCACAACGTGTTCCTCGCAGCGTGTTATCTCACGATCATGAATATGTGATTGCAGGGCGGCCCTGGGAGCCTCGCAGAAGCAAAGTATCGTAGCTCGAGTAAAATAGGGGCGCAGTGGCGCTTGCGAGCGAGACGTTGTGGTGTAGAAGATGCACGCAATATGAGCACAAGCAGGAAGCGCGTCTATAAAGCAGTGAGGGTATATTTCAGCCTTACGGCGGTGGACACGGCCCGTGATGGGCACTGCAGCAATTGCCACCCCATATGGTACCGACCACGTGAACAAGCGCGAGGTCATGCGGGCGTTTGGAGGCTAAGCGAACCCCGAACCTTCCCAGCCCCAGACACAACATCGGGCGGACATGACCCAGCACTGTGCATCGCACTGCTCTCCCACTGCTGGGTGGGACAGACATCGCCGTCTCGCGCGCGTGCCAGGCGGGGCGGGCAGCAGCTGCGACAGGGAGCTTTGCCGCAGGAGGGGTCATCTCAGAGTGAGTGGCAGGACACTCGGACCCGTGTGACGCGGGCGCTCCGGTCGCATCTCCACAAAGCCGAATCGCGCTCGAGTTATACTCCAGTCCGGGGACTGAGTGACACTCGGGGTCCCTTCTCCGGCGCACGCACCTACACACTGGTGTGTATGTCTTTGTGCTGCTCCCAGGTGTGCCTCACCGTGATCTCACCTGCTAACAGTTTCGTGTTCACGTCATCCATGGCGAGCTCGATGGCGGGACGAACGGTGTTCATCGACCACGCGGTGTTGTTATCCACGATGAGAATGACGTTCATCGTATAGACGGCGGGCGTCCTTCCGTCTACCCCGGCGTGCATCCACTCCAGCATCACCCACCCCAGCGTCACCCACGCCAGTGTCGCCAGTGCCGCGGCGCCCATTACCTGCGCGCTCCGTTCCCGCGGCGCGCCCCTCGCGTGTGTGGCCCTAGGGGGGCGGCACGGGATGGGCCCGCCGGATGGGGCTGTGTTGTCACGGTCCCAGTTAATGAGTAACCAAGCAAAGAACGACTGCAGATGGCGCGGAGGTGCTCGCCTTGGGAGATGAGATAACCGCGCCGAGGGCAAAGTGCTGCCGCAGGAGGGTTCCGCACGAGCCCCCCCCCCCCTTTCTCTAGGGGGGGCGCCGGCTTATAAAGTTGCGGTCACGTGGAGACTCCGCCACACCGCCACCCACGAGGTCACGTGGGTTTATTTTATTCCATTGAATGTTTGTGTTTTCAATTAATTTTGTAACATGGTTGTTTTTGCGCTGATTTTTATTTGCTTCATTGTTGTACTTTGTATATTACTGCTATCATCGTTTGCAAATGAGCCTGAACTTGGTATCTTGAGTTCCCACCTCATTACACAAAATCAGCTTGGACTTCACGCTGGACACGCGGATGGAGTTCCCATCTGTTACGTGCGCTCCTCTCCCAGCCCCACAACCTCATGGAAGGGGGCAAGCAGTCACTCCGCCTGTCACGAGTCCCGCATCAACGTCGTCGTTGAGAATGTAAACGACACAGAGACCAAGCAGGTGATCCGCCTCCTCCACACAGCTGTCCCTACGCAATATTTTCCAAGCATCCCTTAGGCCACAAGATCTTCTGGGAGTGCACAATATCAGAAGTATTGGTTCAACACAAGAACACTCTGTACCGGTTTCAACGTTCAGTGTCTCATCAGCAAAGTCATGGTTTTTTTAACCAATGATATTGAACCAATAAAAGTGATCTAGTGATGCTGGCAGTGGTGCACATACATCAAACTCAACACGGTCGTCAATAACACTGCTTTTTTCATGGCTAATATAATCAGAACATGTTGACTCTGAGCATGTGTGGCAACTTGGCACAGAAATAAGCAGAGGGCATGGTTCTGCAACTGGCGGCTTGTGGGCCAGGTGCTCTCGGAGTGGCCCACAGATCTCAGGATAAATAAGAGATATGGCTCGAAGGGCCATTGCCCAAAACGTCGCCTATTATATCGTTTTCCTTTTAAGACCCCAGTGTTATTGACGAATGTGGTAAAAGTAATCATGAGGGGCGGTGTGGAAAGTAACAATACAAATGTAATAATTGTTTTTTTACCCTTTTATCTGGCAACAAAACTGACACCTTTTTTACAAGGAGTCATGTTTACATTGACCACAATACCTGCGGTCGGAACGCAAACAAAAAACAACTCTGATAATGTATGCACTAGGAATAGGTTGTACCCTTTTAACTGGCACAAAAACTGACACCTTTATTCAAGGCATCATGTTTGCAATAACCACAACACAAGCAGTCAAAATGCAAACAAAAAGACAACTCTGATAATAATATGCACTGTCCTTGAATTTGATTGGTCCACACCCGAGACAGCTTTTCTTAGAGCCTAGTCTCCATTGGTGTTGGACCAGAAGACGCCAAAAAGCGTACAACTCAAAAACAGCGCACTATCAGAGTATTGAGGGCTCGGGGTGAGCATTTACATTATGAGACCTCCTTTGCCAGAAACGCGGATTTCTCTAAGACACGACGCACACCGTAAATCGATGGTGCGGAGGGCTCGGGGGGCCCGCTGTAAATTCTCCATGCGGGATTAACCGCCCACACCCTTTACCACAAACCCTCAGCACGGATGTACTCGGCTCAGCTCCCGCAGCGGCGCGCGGGTCTCGTCAGAGCGCGCGCGGTTCGAGTCGGCACTTACTCCACGCACTCTCCTTTTCTCTGTATCTTTGTGCGCCACTGCGCCGCACTTGGGCCATGGTGCTAAATAGACACGGGGCCGATAGGGATCCGACGCTGCAGCGCAAGCTGGTACAGGATTCATATTATTTGGTCCTTTCGGTAAAGTCACGTAGATTGAAAAAAATATAAAAGTAAATAAAATAAAAACTGCGACGTTTCGATCACAACACAAGTGATCGTCTTTTTTCCTCCTGAAGACAATCGCTTGTGTTGTGATCGAAACGTAGTTTTTATTTTATTTACTTTTATTTATTTTTATCTACGTGACTTTACCGAAGGAACCAAAGAATATGAATTCCTGCAGTCACGAAAGTTTTAAGTCAAAATTTGGTACAGGATTATAAGGAGGCCAAGCGATCACGGCACGGGACAGATCCTGCTTTTTACACTGGCCGGAGGACCCAATCGCCGCGTGTGCGCATGGTTGAATAGCGCCACCAGCTGCTAAGGAAGTGCCCGTACATTGAACCACTGCGCGACTTGGGGTCATGGATCTGCTTGTGTTTGGCCTTGTGGCGGATGTATAATCTGAAGGAAAACGTAAAGGTGCGACCCTGCAAGTGCTCCCTCACGCCACTGCTGGCGGAAGGAGCTCCTTTAGAGCGAACTCTGGAGTGTATGTAGTGTACTCTCCCACACTGTGAGCAGACGTGTTGGAAGCAGTGTGCGTACCCACAATTTACCCCACCACACTCGACTTGCCGATCATAAACGAATAGTGCTGCACCTAATTACTGCTGTTTGGACAGAAGTGGTGGGTATGATTTTAGAAAACTGCCTCGTTGTTTCAACTGCCGTGCCAGGAGATGGAATCGGATCGGCGACCTCTGGATTGCAAGTCCATTGCGGCATCTCCTTGGATCTGCAGTAATGCACTGTGAGCTGTGCAATCTGTGACTGTGTCGATTGCATGGACGTGTCCGAGTCTGCAATAATCACGAAGGCAATCGGGTGCATTCATTGACAGCGTCACGATCGATTTTAATCGAAGAGTCGTTCCATTCCTGTAAGCTGCAGGGTGACGTGCTGTGTCAGAGTTCGGCCGCGTTCACCGGGGACACCGGCTCGAACGAACGTCCGTCCAGTGCCAGGGTTTGAACCCAGCACTCTCCCTTCCCTGGGCTTTACAACAGCCAAGCGGCCAGAGCTCGGCTCGCCACCGTCTCCACAGCGAAAACCCGGCCTAATTTCTCAGTTGGCCGAGGTGTATCGACACTGCCGTGCAATCTCCTGCCAGAGTTCAACACGGTCACCAGAACCAGGTCTCGGTACAAATCTATCCGTGCCACCCGACCGCAACAGACGCTGATTGAGGACTGGTGGCGACCTTAGAAACAATGGTGGCCCAAACAAACGTGATTCTACACTTCCATTCCCATACAATGCACGACCAAGCACGAGCTAGGCTCATGAGGTGGCTGTGTGATTTCCAGGAGAAGATGAACATCAGAGAGCCAGGACAAGAGTGAGGCAAGTCATAGGTTTTATACAAAATACCATTCCACCCTCCCTCCTTACACGCGCAACGCACGCCACCTGCTAACACGCGCATCCTGATTGTTCGCTGTGATTGATATAGTTTTGCAATTCTATATCGAACAGACAGGGTCCTTGCCTCTAAACATCTGGCAGTTCACCAGCATTGGTTCAAGCAAAGCCTGACTCTGTTGATGAGACACTGCATGTCGAAACCGGTCCAGAGTTCTTGCTTGTTGTAAACCAGAGCTGCTGAAATGATGCACTCCCAGAAGACCGTGTATGGTTGATGAGGTGTGTACAAAATATACGTTTATTTATGTGCAGAGACACAGATATGTGGAGGTGAATCCCCGCATATTTACGGCTGGAGCGAGAGTCACGCGTAGTGCGTTCTGCTGAACACAGCCTGCGTCCCTCGCGGTGGAGTGGCTGCCACTCGCCATGAGAGTTGGCCACGTCGCAGCAATCGGACGCGGCACGTGGCGACTGGAGAGTGGGACACGAGGCGAAGGCACATGGGCACAGGCACCATCACTACGGTGGGGGGGGGGGCATGATGATTACGGGGTTGGGGGGAGGGCATGGCGATTACGGGGGACGAAGTGGGGAGGGGGCAAGATGAGTACACGTTGTAAAAGCTACAGAGCTGGGGGTCTTACAATTAAACATCTATGCTACGTTACCAAAACCCGACGAGCAAATAACATTCCAGACAATTTTCTGACTATTATAAAATTCCCCCGTGATTTTTAAATCTGATTCCCAGGGTGAGAGTGGCGTTCCTATGTGTGGGCCCCGAGGGCCGTGTGGGCCGTGTGGGCCCCGAGGATCGGGAGGAGGAGCTGCCGTGCGGAGGGGGGGCGCCGTGCCCTGCGACCGTGCTGGGCGAGGGGGTGGGGACCATCACTTCTTGCGCAGGATGCAGTAGAGGACGCCGCTGATGAGCGTGAGCGGGAACGCGATCCAGGCGAGGATGAAGCAGTAGCCGTACCCGCCGTTGCTGTTGTAGTTGAACTGCGCCGCATACATAGAGGCGGCCACCATCACGCACAGACCTGCGAGCGGCGCGGAGAGCAGGGAGTGGTTAGCGAGGTGAACTGCACGCTCGTTAGCGATACGGTGCAGTGACGTGTAATGCAGGGCAGCGTTTCAGGGCTATGTGCGGTGTGGTTTCATGCAGTGCAGTTACTCACAGGCGAGCAGCTGGAAAGCCCCCGTGAAGTGGAACATGCCACCCTTCTCGAGGCGGAAGAGCTGCGCCGTGAAGATGATGAGTGACGCAGAGCAGAAGATCACGGACAGGATCATGAATGCCTGCACGGCCTGTATCCAGTCTGCGGTGGGGACAAACATCACTGTTATCTCATGCTGTGGGTTGTATCTCGCGCTACATTGAACTGGGACCCATATCTAATGGCGAGGATCTTTGCCCAGTATTGGTTCAAGTGAGCCGGAGTCTGCTGATGAGACACTAAATGTTGAAACCGATCCAGAGTTTTGTTTGCATTGAACCAATGCTACTGATAAGAGTGACTCCAAGACGGTCGTTTAGCTGATGGGATATGTAAAAAAAACTTTTATTTTTTTATGCGAAAGGACAGATATGGGAAGGAGGTGAAGTGTCTTCTTGTTTATTTTGTCACAAACATCGGCATCTTCATGCATACAGAGAGACGCAGAGACACATACAGAGATAAAGATCCCTCATACAGCCCCAATAGACTGTTGGGGCAACGGCTGCTAGCGAGTAGCACACAGAAACACACCCTCTCACACCGCACACAAGATCACTCCTGCCACCGATCCCAGCACACGCGTTACCCATGGCAGTGCTCTCGTGCGTCTGAGACCAAGCCATCGCCTGAGGATCACTAGAAATCAGTGGGGCATCAATAAATGGATCGCCCAGTATCACAAATCTACATTTACAGTACTCACCGATAAACATTTACACACACTTTACGTCCTGTCAGCAAGGGCATTTCCCGAAATGTCACCTATTAGATGTTTCCTTGGAAGACCACACATATACTAAATGCCTCTGTGGATATGTAAACTTTGACTTTAACACAGCTATTTCTGTCACAAGCTAATCCCTCAGTTTTTTCAATGCTAAATTCTCCTGCTTTGATATGTGAACTCCTTTTTCAAGGCTCGCCACGCCTCTCACCGAGCTTAAAAGACGCTGCGAATCTTAGCAGCGTTAATTGAAGCTCTGTCATCCCGACAGTTCTGTTCTTTCACCTGAAGAAGGCTGCTTGTGTTGTGGCCAAAACGTCGTGAGAATTTTATTGTCTTATATTATTTTATTCTCATTCTACGTGACTTTACCGAAAGAACCAAATAAGAAAGAACCAAAGAAGACCACACAGTGTTATTATTTACACAGAATGTGTTAATGTTTTTGTAATTTCAGTCCGGGATCTCGTGGTGTCATTACGTGTCGGTATCTCTGCGAGCGATGGCCACAGCAGGGGCTCTTGCTCAGGGCAGTGGCATCCCTGGGCAAAGTTTGACGATCGCTCAAGGCATATGTGCCCCAGGGGGGCAATGGAGATCACGCGCACCGGGGAAGGAACGCCTCGGCCAAGGGGCCTGATTCTAGCCTCTAACCGCCACAAGGGGGCAGCGCGAGCCTTGGCTGTGAGCCCATGACCATAGTTTGAACGGATAAAATCGTGGGAGGATTTGGTATTGGCGTCAATACCAAAAGGCGAGAATCACGCCTTTTGGTATTGATGTTCCACAGGCGCAGTCTACCGTCGTGTCGCAGGAGGGGCGATGCTGCTTTGTACAATCACAATTGAGTGGTTTTATTTTTTAAATTGGCAAATTTGGACCATAACGCAATCACACATCGCCTACTCCTTTTGAATGACGTAATGTGATCTTTAAGGTCCGCTGTGAGTGAATCGTACTAAACACCCATCGCAGTCATAACCAGGGAGAGTTGCACGATTCGAACCAAAAATCTCTGCAACAAACGGCGAACCCAAGAGGCCTCCAGTAAGGTGGTTAGGCGCGGCCCTGGTGGGTCAAGGGGGCCTCCAGGCCCGCGGTGGGCTTCAGGCCCATGTAGACTGACCCTGGCTGAGAGCGTGAGTCACCTGAGAGAGGAACATTGTGCCCGTTCGATTCGCAGGTCCATTGGGTTCCAACGTAGGTGCACTTCTTCCACAGGTCCACACTCTGGCTCGTGACGTTCACAACATTGTTGTACCACCAGGCCTGCATGCCGCACCACGACACACCACGTCAGCCATACCACTCCAGTCACACCACATGCCACCGCGAGTGACACGCAGGTGTTAGCAGCAAAGTCAGGACCGTCACCCGGTGCAGAGATCTCGTCACGAGCGACCACGATGAACGTGGAAAGATTTCAACAGCCCCACCCCCCACCCAGCGTGAACCCGCACAGCACGCGGAACCCCCACTCTGTTACTCAGCTCCCGTGCACCCTCACTGTGTTACTCAGCTCCCGTGCACTTCCACTGTGTTACTCAGCTCCCGTGCACCCCACTGTGTTACTCAGCTCCCGTGCACCCTCACTGTGTTACTCAGCTCCCGTGCACCCTCACTGTGTTACTCAGCTCCCGTGCACCCCCACTGTGTTACTCAGCTCCCGTGCACCCTCACTGTGTTACTCAGCTCCCGTGCACCTCCACTGTGTTACTCAGCTCCCGTGCACCCTCACTGTGTTACTCAGCTCCCGTGCACCCTCACTGTGTTACTCAGCTCCCGTGCACCTCCACTGTGTTACTCAGCTCCCGTGCACCCTCACTGTGTTACTCAGCTCCCGTGCAGCCTCACTGTGTTACTCAGCTCCCGTGCACCCTCACTGTGTTACTCAGCTCCCGTGCACCCTCACTGTGTTACTCAGCTCCCGTGCACCCTCACTGTGTTACTCAGCTCCCGTGCACTTCCACTGTGTTACTCAGCTCCCGTGCGCTTCCACTGTGTTACTCAGCTCCCGTGCACTTCCACTGTGTTACTCAGCTCCCGTGCACCCTCACTGTGTTACTCAGGTCCCGTGCACCGTCACTGTGTTACTCAGCTCCCGTGCACTTCCACTGTGTTACTCAGCTCCCCTGCACTTCCACTGTGTTACTCAGCTCCCGTGCACCCCACTGTGTTACTCAGCTCCCGCGCACCCTCACTGTTACTCAGCTCCCGTGCACCCTCACTGTGTTACTCAGCTCCCGTGCACCCTCACTGTGTTACTCAGTTCCCGTGCACCCCCACTGTGTTACTCAGCTCCCGTGCACCCCACTGTGTTACTCAGCTCCCGCGCACCCTCACTGTTACTCAGCTCCCGTGCACCCTCACTGTGTTACTCAGCTCCCGTGCACCCCCACTGTGTTACTCAGCTCCCTTGCACTTCCACTGTGTTACTCAGCTCCCGTGCACCCTCACTGTGTTACTCAGCTCCCGTGCACCTCCACTGTGTTACTCAGCTCCCGTGCACCCTCACTGTGTTACTCAGCTCCCGTGCACCCTCACTGTGTTACTCAGCTCCCGTGCACCTCCACTGTGTTACTCAGCTCCCGTGCACCCTCACTGTGTTACTCAGCTCCCGTGCAGCCTCACTGTGTTACTCAGCTCCCGTGCACCCTCACTGTGTTACTCAGCTCCCGTGCACCCTCACTGTGTTACTCAGCTCCCGTGCACCCTCACTGTGTTACTCAGCTCCCGTGCACTTCCACTGTGTTACTCAGCTCCCGTGCGCTTCCACTGTGTTACTCAGCTCCCGTGCACTTCCACTGTGTTACTCAGCTCCCGTGCACCCTCACTGTGTTACTCAGGTCCCGTGCACCGTCACTGTGTTACTCAGCTCCCGTGCACTTCCACTGTGTTACTCAGCTCCCCTGCACTTCCACTGTGTTACTCAGCTCCCGTGCACCCCACTGTGTTACTCAGCTCCCGCGCACCCTCACTGTTACTCAGCTCCCGTGCACCCTCACTGTGTTACTCAGCTCCCGTGCACCCCCACTGTGTTACTCACCTCCCGTGCACTTCCACTGTGTTACTCAGCTCCCGTGCACCCTCACTGTGTTACTCAGCTCCCGTGCACCCTCACTGTGTTACTGAGCTCCCGTGCACCCCACTGTGTTACTCAGCTCCCGTGCACCCCCACTGTGTTACTCAGCTCCCGTGCACCCCCACTGTGTTACTCAGCTCCCGTGCACCCTTACTGTGTTACTCAGCTCCCGTGCACTTCCACTGTGTTACTCAGCTCCCTTGCACTTCCACTGTGTTACTCAGCTCCCGTGCACCCTCACTGTGTTACTCAGCTCCCGTGCGCCCCACTGTGTTACTCAGCTCCCGTGCACCCTCACTGTGTTACTCAGCTCCCGTGCACTTCCACTGTGTTACTCAGCTCCCGTGCACCCTCACTGTGTTACACAGCTCCCGTGCACCCTCACTGTGTTACTCAGCTCCCGTGCACTTGCACTGTGTTACTCAGCTCCCGTGCACCCTTACTGTGTTACTCAGCTCCCGTGCACCCTCACTGTGTTACTCAGCTCCCGTGCACCCTCACTGTGTTACTCAGCTCCCGTGCACCCTCACTGTGTTACTCAGCTCCCGTGCACTTGCACTGTGTTACTCAGCTCCCGTGCAGCCTCACTGTGTTACTCAGCTCCCGTGCACTTCCACTGTGTTACTCAGCTCCCGTGCAGCCTCACTGTGTTACTCAGCTCCCGTGCACCCCTACTGTGTTACTCAGCTCTCGTGCACTTCCACTGTGTTACTCAGCTCCCGTGCACCCTCACTGTGTTACTCAGCTCCCGTGCACCCTCACTGTGTTACTCAGCTCCCGTGCACCCCCACTGTGTTACTCAGCTCCCGTGCACCCTCACTGTGTTACTCAGCTCCCGTGCACTGGCACTGTGTTACTCAGCTCCCGTGCACCCTCACTGTGTTACTCAGCTCCCGTGCACTTCCACTGTGTTACTCAGCTCCCGTGCAGCCTCACTGTGTTACTCAGCTCCCGTGCACTTGCACTGTGTTACTCAGCTCCCGTGCACCCTCACTGTGTTACTCAGCTCCCGTGCACTTCCACTGTGTTACTCAGCTCCCGTGCAGCCTCACTGTGTTACTCAGCTCCCGTGCACCCTCACTGTGTTACTCAGCTCCCGTGCACCCCCACTGTGTTACTCAGCTCCCGTGCACCCTCACTGTGTTACTCAGCTCCCGTGCACTTGCACTGTGTTACTCAGCTCCCGTGCACCCTCACTGTGTTACTCAGCTCCCGTGCACTTCCACTGTGTTACTCAGCTCCCGTGCAGCCTCACTGTGTTACTCAGCTCCCGTGCACTTGCACTGTGTTACTCAGCTCCCGTGCACCCCCACTGTGTTACTCAGCTCCCGTGCACCCTCACTGTGTTACTCAGCTCCCGTGCACTTGCACTGTGTTACTCAGCTCCCGTGCACCCTCACTGTGTTACTCAGCTCCCGTGCACTTCCACTGTGTTACTCAGCTCCCGTGCAGCCTCACTGTGTTACTCAGCTCCCGTGCACCCCCACTGTGTTACTCAGCTCCCGTGCACTTCCACTTTTTTACTCAGCTCCCGTGCACCCTCACTGTGTTACTCAGCTCCCGTGCACCCTCACTGTGTTACTCAGCTCGCGTGCACCCCTGATAGTGCAGTGATCACCCTGACTCCAGGTTGATGTTCCTGTCGCTTCATTTCACTGTGCATGGGTTTCAAGTTATTTGTCCAAGCCGGCTCTCTTTACTGGAAAATGCATGGAATCTTCGTTCTGTTTGTGCACTTTTCAATTTATTTTGTAATGTAGTTGTCTCTGCTGATGTTGCTATTTGTTATTTTATGCTCCGAGTGCTATTCGCGTCATTGCTGTACTATGTTTGTATGTTTTTGCTGTTATGACGTTGAGCCGGGTTGACTACTCTTGCGATGGAGCCTCACTGGTCACTTGAGTTCTCGCCTCGTTATGCGAATGGTGAAACGCCGGACTGCGGAACCACTCACGTTGTCTATGGTGGCGATGAAGAGCAGGACCAGCGCCGCCACATGGATGATGGCGATGGCGAGCAGGAGGATCTTCATGGTGCAGAGGTAACACTCCCTGGATGATACGCGGCGCACGTGCAACCATCATCATCACAACAATCATCATAACCATCATTACTTCCACGGCGGGAAGACTCGGTATCATCGTCTGTGTCCCAAATAAATCCAGTCCTTTGTAACTCACACTGGAGTTAAGCCCAGCCCAAGACCGCTAAACTCTTACCAGATATAAACACAGGGACTCAAGAGACACAGGGACTCAGGGACACAGACAGAGACACAGTGGTACAGGGACACAGGGACATAGAGACACAGGGACATAGAGACACAGGGACTCAAGAGACAGGGACACGGAGACACAGGAGCACAGAGACAGAGGGATTCCGACACACAGGCAAACAGGTATACAGAGACACAGGGATATACAGACATGGGCCGATCTCCCCTGACATGCTTCTCGACCCCGTGGATACCTCTACGCGATCCCCTCTCAGCCGTTATGAGTCGCCCCCGCGTGATCTATCTCTGGCGGGCGCGGTGCGGGTTGCCTGGGCTTGGGACGCGGTGTTGTTTTGGTGAAAGCAGTGGGCAGGGGGTGACGGAGTGGTTTGGGATGCGCCGTGAAACTGAGTGGTGGGGGCGGAGGAGCTGCGCGGCGCCCCGCTCTGCGCGACGCCCGCTCCCCGTTTCGTAGTTCGTGGCTGGGATCGGCAAAATCCCTCCCGCGGTAGGGTTCGGGGAAGGGTGGCTTTAGGGGTAGGTTTAGGGGTAAGGCGTGGCTGTAGGGGTTGGTTTAGGGATAGGTTTAGTGGGGTGTGGTTTTAGGGATAGGTTTAGGGGTAGGGCGTGGTTTTAGGGGTAGGGTGTGGTTTTAGGGTTAAGTTTAAGGGTAGGGCGTGGTTTTCGGGGTAGGCTATGGTTTAAGTTAAGTTTAAGGGTAGGTTGTAGCTTTAGGGGTAGGGTGTGGTTTTAGGGTTAAGTTTAAGAGTAGGGTGTGGTTCTAGGGGTAGGCTATGGTTTAAGAGTTACGTTTAAGGGTAGGTTGTGGCTTTAGGGGTAGGGTGTGGTTTTAGGGGTAATGTTGGTTGAGGGGTTTGTTAGGGGCAGTAGTATAGGGGTAGTTTATGGGTAGCACTGGATTCACGCAAAGGGCGGGACCCCGTCTCTAGAATGTTTATGAGCCCCGGGGCTTCGCGATTATAGAGTCCAGAGCCAAGCCACGCACAGAAACCGACTCGGAGAGAGCAACTCAGAAGTAGCGACTCAGATAGAGCGGCCCAGAGAGAGCGACGCAGAATAAGCCAGAGAGAGCGACTCAGAGAGTGACTCTTGGGGGACATAGAGAGAGAACCCCGTAATTCCCCAAGAAAACTCCTCAACCGCGCCACCCAGATGTCCGCACCTCCTATTAGCACAGTTGGCTACGTGCGGTGCGAAAGAAGTTCAACATACATACAGTGAGGAGATACGGGGGGAGATACTGGGAAACAGCAGGGGACACGGGGAGACAGCGAGACGCACGGGGAGACAGCAGGAGCCACGGGAGGAGACGGGGAAACGGCGGGAGAGACTGTGATGAAGAGCAGCAAGCGAGTACGCGACCCCACCCCACGCCCACCCTGAGACAGAGACGCGACCGCTGCAGCCTCACCTCTTCAACTCTTCACTTCACCTCTTCGCTTCACTTCCAACACGGGCAGCGGTGGCAGGAGGAGCTGAGCTCCGCATGCGGAGCCGGGTTATATGCGCCCACCCTACCCCCTCCCTCCCATCGTCCCCACTGGCCCCTCCTCACACAGCCGACGACTCTCCCCCACTCACAGGCCCCTCTCTTCGGACACCCAGAGCTCCTCTAGCTCACAGCGGCGACGGGAGAGTGAGGGGAGTGAGTGAGGGAATAATGGGTGTGTGTGGGGAGAGTGAGGAGGGGAGGGAAGAGTGTGTGTGTGAGGAGGGCCAGGACAGTGTGTAGGGAGTGTGCGGAGAGTGAGGGAATAATGGGTGTGTGGGGAGAGTGAGGGGAGAGTGTGTGTGGGGAGAGTGAGGGGAGAGTGTGTGTATGGGGAGAGTGAGGGGAGAGTGTGTGTGTGGGGAGAGTGAGGAGGGGAGGGAAGAGTGTGTGTGTGGGTGGAGGGCCAGGACAGTGTGTAGGGAGTGTGGGGAGAGTGAGGGGAGAGTGTGTGTATGGGGAGAGTGAGCGGAGAGTGTGTGTGTGGGGAGAGTGAAGGGAGAGTGTGTGTGTGGGGAGAGTGAGGGGAGAGTGTGTGTGGGGAGAGTGTGTGTGTGGGGAGAGTGTGTGTGTGGGGAGAGTGAGGGGAGAGTGTGTGTGTGAGGAGAGTGAGGGGAGAGTGTGTGTATGGGGAGAGTGAGGGGAGAGTGTGTGTGTGGGGAGAGTGAGGGGAGAGTGTGTGTGTGGGGAGAGTGAGGGATGAAGGTGGAGGAAGCGAGGCTGGATTTATTTTACCGCAACATCACGAAGCGAGTATACAATGGCGATGCGCCATCCTTGCCACATCTGTCCTTCCAAATGGAGAATGCATCAATATTGTACACATCTCATCAGTCACCCGGCCTTCGAGGAGTGCATAATTTAAGCAGCATTGGGCTAATAAAACAAAACTCTGGAAACCGGTTTTGATAGTCAATGTCTCATCAGCAGTCAAGATATACTTGAAGCAATGACTGCTGATGAGACACAGGTTGCTCGGATTGAACCAATTCTGCTTTTGAAAAAATCCCTGTCAGAAGTCCGTGTGGCTGATGGGACGTGTAGAGAAATTCTAATTGTCCGCGTGTTTATTTGGCTTCTGGTCACGAGTGTCGGGGGGGGGGGTTCTCGCTACGCGTCAGGCTGGGCGGCCCAACACACCTCGCTTCTATGGGCCCTTAAACATCTTCGGGTGGGGGGGATGGATGCCCCCAACCGAGGCCTTTGCCCCCTCCTTCCCTCCCTATCGATGACAGCTGAGACTACACCCCCCCCCCCCCTTTGAATCAATCATAGCGCTCGAGCAGGGGGTCCGCCGAGGGCCCTCTCTTTACAGGGCCCTCTCTTTACAGAGGGGGCCCTCGGCTGTCGGGAGAATGCCCGTTCGTAGTGATACCCGCTGTGTAATCACAACGACCATTATTTGTTTTCGATAGAGCGCCCTACATCGCATCTCAGCTCAGAACATTTCAAAGGGCAGCTGTTCCGTGTGCCACCAGATGACTTCGGTACCTGGTCTGCAAGCCGACGTGAGTCTGCCGTTAGGGGGGCGATGAATGCTAAGGTTGCTGCTGCTGCTGTTGCTACTGCGTGTGATCCATCCCGATTGAGTGATTTGCAAGGAATTATCGAATTTGGCCAAACTTATAGTCGAATTGGTACAAACGAAGCGAGCAGCGGCGGCTGTTGATGGCTCGAGTTTCTCAGTGGGGCGGTGCCGGCACCGCATCAGCGGGCGGAGGGGCGTGAGGGTGGCTGGCGCCTTGCCCTGAGCTCTGGTGTGGGGAGTGTGATGGGAGAGTGTGAAGGCAGCGTGGTTATAGTTTATGGAGCCGAGTGGAGTGTGAGGGTACAATTTAGGAGTTTGAGGGAACAGTGTGAGTCGAGAGTGAGGAGATAGTGTGAGGGGAGAGCGTGGTGCAGGGATAGAGTTACAGGGCGTGGTGCTCCTGTGCTCGTGATGGCGTTAGGCGGGAAGCCACCGCCTCCGCGCGCCCGTGACTCACGGCGCCGTCACGGGGCCTGCACCACGCCTAGCGATGGCGGCTGTTGTTCCAAACGAGAGCGGGGAGAGACGGAGTGAGAGGCGGGGGTGCGGAGAGGAAATCCCCCCCCTCTCTCCTACGCACCACGACTCCGAGCTGCGTGAAGTCATCCCACGGAATCACCTTCACATGACCATCATTACCATCATATCACCATAATCACATCACCATCATATTACCCTCACATCACATAGACACCTTCGGGCACAAAATGTTTCATATCTAAAATCACATCACCCTCAAATCATCATAATATCATCACATCATCCCCCGCATCATCACGTCACCCTCACTTTATCGTCATTACATCGATAGCAGTCACGCCGAGGAGTCATTGATGGGTGCGGTTCTCGGCGCCACTCCCACAGATAACCGCACTCACTCGTCCTCTCTCACCCGGTGGGCAGAGGAGTTGGGCACATGGGGCACATGAGGTAAACACATGGGCAACGGGAGGTAGGCACATGGAGCACAGGAGGTGGACACATGGGGCACAGGAGGTGGACACATGGGGCACATGAGGTAAACACATGGGCAACAGGAGGTGGGCACATGGAGCACAGGAGGTGGACACATGGGGCACAGGAGAAATAGCTTGAAGGTGATAAATGGACGCGTGTGTAAACAGACAGGGACACGTGTCAAATACAACTGTGATACAGCACCATCACATCATCACATTACCGTGTTGGCAGAGCCGTCACTAAGGGATCTCATCCTGTTGTGGGGGATGGGGGGGCTGTGTTACTGAGGATGGGGTGAGGCAGGCGGCCGGTTTGGCTCAGTCACCGCGGCCGCGTGTCCGGTCGGGCGGGGCTGAGGGATCGAAGGGAGTCAACTTTGGACTCACTGCGCTCGTCCGTAAACGGTCGTGACTTACCGCCCCATTATATTTTCGATGTGTAACACACTTTTTGTGGCCCACGTCATTGCATTTTCTCTCGGGTTTGTTTGTAGGCGTGCCCGGGTAAATAGCCTCTCCGTTATGTTCACGCGCCGCGGTGTTTTTATGCATATTAAACAGTCTGAGTTAATTTGATACTGGGGGCGGGTCTGTGGAGGAGGAATGCTGTCGTTGTTGTGGAATGTTACGCCACACACTGGCCTTAAGTGGGGCGCGCGGCGCGAGGCACGCGGGATGAGTCCGCGCGTGTAACCACGTGGCGGGGTGGGTGTACGCGCGTCGTGTAGCGCGTGTAACCGCGTGAAAGGGACATACGGGCCATACCTGTCAACCTATACGGTTTACCCGTATTCTTGTACAGGGAAATTGCGTTTTCAGGTCCATACGACTTACAGCCATAAATGACGTAACGCGATTTTGGACGATTTTTGACCCCCCCCCTCGTCACACGGCGTCATAAAAAGTCAGACCCCCCCCTCAAATATGACGTCACAAAGCTCTGCACTCTGATGTTGTAGGAGAAAACATTTATTAAAAAGTCTAATTAAGTAGAACGTGTTGTCGATATTTATTTAAAGTTGCGCATTTTTATGTGACGTCACATTTCTCAAACCCCCCCCCCCGTCACACATCGTCACAAATACTCTTTCGTTCTCTCGGTAATGTCACGTAGGTTTAAAATAAATTAAATCACGACGTTTCGGGCGCAACACAAGCGCTTGTGTTGCGCCCGAAACAAGCGCTTGTGTTGCGCCCGAAACGTCGTGATTTAATTTATTCTATTTTATGCCTACTACGTGACTTTACCGAAAGAACCAAAAAGTATGGATCCCTGCAGTCATGAAAATTTAAAATATTGATCGTCACAAATGTCTGGCCCCCCCCCCCACCCAGGTGCGTGACGTAATTTATGGACGGCCCCCAATACGTGCAAAAAACACGCTTTGTCCATTTGTCTGTGTTTCTCCCTTGTGATGGGACTTTTTAGGATGAACGTTGAGATTAGGGCACGGGGTGACCAATAAGGTCTGAATTGGTTTGTAAAAAGGTAGGCACTGATAAGGGGATGAGAGATATGAAGTTCGCGACCATTCTTTATGGAGCCGAGCGCGGCTTCTGTATCTCTAGTCACGACTCCTGTATCCGGGACCGGGCGCTCACGACTGAGTTGGGGATTCAGGAGCGGTTCTCGTGGCAGCCACACCGAGACAGTGGCTCTTAGACATGAGCGACCAATACAATGTGAGGGGGGGGGCGCCCCCCGGGGTGGTTATGATTGCTGCGGGCGATGTCGGCAGTGAGTGTGATTGACGGGGTAATGGCGCAGCTGTGAAGAGGCTGGGCTGGGCGCGGCGTGTGACCGCCCAGGAATCCCTCGTCTCAAGCCTTGAAGGTCAATTGCAAAATCATCGACATCGTCGCTGGGTTGGATGAGAGCAATGAGACAATCCTCAGGGCGGGGTTGTTTAGCGTGGGGTGAGGTCAGGCGGATTGCCTCACTGATCATGACTGGCTTCGGCGAGGCCAGTGACGCAGTGATGCAGCAGAAGAAGCCGTGTGACTCCCTCGCGCTATAAACATCGGACAGTTAAGCAGCATAATTCAGGCAAGCCTGACTTTGCTGATGAGCCATTGAAGGTCGAAACCGGTCCAATTTTACTTGAGCCGAGTCAGTTATGCTGAAGTTATTCACTCCCAAAAGGGCGTGTGATTGATGGGATGTGTAAATATATTATATGGAAATTTGGGAAGGAGGTATGTTGCCTGTTTATTTTGTTATCTAATATCTGAGAACGCGCCTGCGTGTGTACGGGGAAGGTGTCACGTCCGACACGAGCCAGGGTTTGTAACGGGGAGAGACGCGAGGCAGATGGAGGCAAAGGGCGTGCTCAGGGGCAGAGTTAGCGTAGAGGTGTGGGGCAGGGTCAGGGTAAGGATAGGCAAAGAGTTAAGATAAGTTAGGGGGAAGGGTTTCCACAACACGTGTCCACCCACCGATGTCCCAGTGTCGCCCTCCGACTGTCCCATATCTTTAGAACTGCTTTTTGTGTTTAGTTGTCATTCCCCTGCACGTCAGATTAGTACGGTTGGCTACGTACGGTGCCAAAGAAGTTCAACAT